ATCTACTGTATGTGGTTTAATGAGCTGTTATCTTGGGCCACAAATGATAATGTAATTTGAAATTCAAGGAAGAAGCACACAGGCTTTTATCACGTTTGGAGGGCCCTGTTAGAACAGAACCAGACTGGCTTCACATGATGAAGACAGGCACAGTCTCCAGACCCGAACTCCATGGAGCTGGTTTGGGATGAACTGGACACAAGGTGAAGGTAAAGAAATCTGCAAGTGACACACATTAGAGGGAACTTCTGAAACTGTTGGAACGAACTTAACAAACGGTATTTCATTTCCATTGTCCATCATCATGTGAAGCCTCCATCTGGTTCTGCTCTTCTAATGTTGTGGCTCATTATCTTGCTGTAGGAAGAAGCCTTGACCAAACAGTCTGCACAGTAACGTATAGTAAACCTGCACTGGCGGTCATTGGCCTGTAATATAACTCAAGTAGAGATGAAATGGTTACCAGTTTCACGCTGAATCACGGTAAAAACGCCAGACGGTCAGTATTACTGTGTAAATTTTAATTATCACTATAACCGTGGTTACCTACTGTGGTTAATTACTGTGGTTAATTTATCTCTATAAAACGTTACTGTACAGCATCAATCACCAACAGTCTCCCAGACACAAGGGCGGCAACATCCAATATTGTAACATCATATACTGTATCTGACAAAAAATAAGGTTGAAGTATAACAGCCCTACTTTTAATGTTATTCACTGGACTGGTCAATCAAAACAGGAAAATGGGATGTTCTAAAATGTATGACTGGTAGTGTAGATGCAGAGGTGTGACACACAGGTGCACTCATGCCACTTTCCAAAGAGGAAATGAGAGTTTAGCCCGGTGGTCTTGGTCATTTCCCTGCTACCCATCCCCATATCTCCCTCTGAAGTTGAATGAGGTCAACTTTGGAGGTTATGGAGGCATGTGGAACATGTTGCTCTGCTCTGGGACTCACACAGTTCTTATATCAGTGATCAAGGCAACTGTCTTTCCTGTCAGATGACAACAGATAGGTGCAGCCCATTCACCAGCTGGTCATGAATCATTGCCTGAATACAGTGAGCTACGTATGAATGTGACTAATGTGTCACAATGTATTTTACACATTTGATCTCTGTCTATTGCCTATTGTCATCTATTGCCTTCTCAATGCAACGAGAGAGAGAAAGTGAGTGTGTGTGTGTGTGTGTGTGTGTGTGTGTGTGTGTGTGTGTGTGTGTGTGTGTGTGTGTACAGCTCTAATGATAAATCCAGGCAGCCAGCCTGGCATTGGGCTTGTCTTGGCTACAGAGACTGTGTGGCGCTGCAACTCAAGGCCTGGAGGAGGAGGCGTCCTTCCAGCCACACAGACACACACGCACACTTTTTCATGCATTCCTCAGATTCCACATCTCATATGTATGTGTGTGTGTGCGAGCGCACGTGTCTCACTCTGAATTGGCAATTCAAGGCATTAGAAAAAAAAATAAGGTGATTTGACCTGTAACATAGCTTCATCTCTCAGTTGCCTTCACCTGCATGTATTCGTCTAAAACTTGAAAAAAGGGTGGAAATGGAGTGGCGCAGGAATTAGTCCTAAAACCTGGAAACTAGTTAGCCTTTTAGCACTTCCTACTCCTTTGTCCTGAAGTCTCTGGTTTATTGAATGTGTATTTGGTTCATTGACTGAAATAAGGTCTGTGTTAACACAAGCTCAAGGCATTTTTATTCTATGACTAAAATACGGCAGTAAATACCCCAGTCCTGATTTCTTGAAGCTTTTACATCTGTTCAAAAGGCCGGTTGCTAACAAGTGTCTAAATGAGACTACAGAGGTTGTAGGGGGGGTTTAACGTCGTCACGTTGAATATGACAACTGATTGACTCACCAGTCCACCTTTACAGCCTCGTTGTGTTTCTACAAACTGTCACTAACTCTGTCAGAGGAAAGGCTTTTGTAGAAGAGGTCAGAGCTAAATCAAACTACAAGTTGAAGTTTAGTGGTGGTGCCATTGAAGTCATCTGACCGTGGTGTAGTTGGTTTATAGCCTAACATTAGCTTTTTGCTTCTGCTGATTGTATTTAGGCTTCAAACATAAAAATACATGATCCACTCTATAAAACACAAAGGTCAGTGGATCTTCAGGCCAACAGGCTCAGTTAATGTATGATAAAATAATTATTTCCCAAGATTGGGAAAATGTTAAAATACAGAATTGTACAGAGAGTACATGAGTCTGCACAGGGGCAAATTAATCCACTGGACCTTAGTGTAAAGTTGAGCTTTGAACTGCTGTTGATCTCCCAGATTCTCCCATTTTCTGTGCATTGTTTTTGTATCCTGTTGTGTTCAGGCTCCCATCAGGTAGAGGGCAAGCATGGCAGCTCTGTAATACCCCTTTTCCCACCAAAATTATCAGATACAAGTGGGTTTTTTAAACGCAGATAAACCTGCTAATAAAAGCCTATTGACTCCTTTTACACTGTCAATCAAGTTTTTATTTCTGATTGGACTGAGGACATACACAACTGCAAGGAGTGATGTCATCACATGCACTTTCAGAGCACACACACAGACAGTGTGAGTGAGCTGCTAGCCACCATGCAGACTGATAAAACAGATCTGTCACAACACATCTCCGAGTTGTTGCTCACGTAAAAGTCCTTGTGAGATGCTTCGATTGATGCTTGCATGCTTTTAAAACTTATTTTGGGGCTGCAGCTCACTCTTTCATCACAGACTGCAGTGTAGCTGCAGTGTTTAACAGCACTGTGCTGGACAGGTGACCGGTCTATCTACAGTGTCTGTGTGCTCAGCAGGAAAAGGGGCGAAAATTTGTGAGTTCACCCAGGTGTTGTGTTTACATCAGTGCCGACAAATACCCAATGTTAGCAGGTCTTCACTGTTGTTCTGACCAGTGGAAAAGGGGCTTTATGAGGCCATTTATTATACCAATAATTACAATTACCACGCAGTAAATATGGAGCCTTTGTGTCCCTTATAATTTTGGGCCAAAGACTAGTTGCCAGTTTTGTTGGTAATCAATCCTCGGGGCTGGGAACCAAAGCTTAACACTTTTTCTGGTCAATGTGGCTCCTACTTAAAACACATTCATTTCCCACTCTGCCTGTTAAAATGTCTGAGTTCAACAGCTCCACACCTCCACACATGAGATCGGAGGACTGGGCCTCGCCAGCCACATTCATATTTATGTCTGTTACTCAAAGTGTGATCAAAGTCCAGATGACCTGTAAGGTTAATGAGCTGATAAGGTCAACAGACGAGGTGGGGCGGGCGAATGCTGCTCCACCCTGAATGTTCACTGGGTGGTGCAGGGTGGTTGTCAGGTCACCAGATTTCTATAAAAATCAAGCTACCTGGCAACTGTCTGCAGTCTGTTCCTCACAGACCATTCACACTGAACACTGAGCTGAATCAGGCAATGGAGGCTCAATACAGCAAAAATCATTGTCCGATGATCCATTATTAACTATTTTAATTATAGTTTCATTGTTTTAAAAATAAGAATAATTAAAATAATAATACATTTTATTTACAGGGGCCTTTCAAAGCACTCAAGGACACCTTACAATACACAGTAAAAGATAAAAAGCTAGTACAAGCATAAAATACAGAATAAATTTGAATAAATTCAACTGCATAAAAAAAAAAAAAACATGATTGAGCCCTGGTGCTGGAGTTAAATAGAACAGGGAAGCTTGAAGAAGTGTATTTTGAGGTGGGATTTGAAAACAGGAACAGAATCGATATTACGGATGTCTTGTGGAAGAGAGTTCCAGAGTCGAGTTAAGTCATTTTTCAAGCAAAAAAAATATTTATTTCAAGGCCCACCATTGTAAGAATCTTTGGGTCCTGAACTACTGGTCAGAAAAACAAAATATTTTCAGATGTTGCAGTGGGCTTCAAAAATAGTGGTTGTAAAAAATGTACAACTTTATGGTATTTTATAGCCCAAGCAATTAATTTAACCAAGATTAATTGACAATGAAAATGATTGTGTGATGGAGCCCTTACTTTGATAATCAATTAATTGTTGTCAGCAAGCAAAAATTCAATATTGTGATGAGCATGTTTCGGCATTTTCTGACATTATATAGACCAAACTATCATGAAACTTACAGGCAGATCAGTTGATAATGAAAATAATATGGTGGCCCCAAAGGACATAGCACATACAACAGTGAAGAGTACAAGAGTAAAAGCGCTGAAGGAAGCACGTTCCAAACCGATAAATGCTCCAACTGTGAAAACATGTCCAAGAATGACAGAACAAACAAACAGAAGTCAGACTCTAGAGAAATAACAGATTTTTTCAATCATGTCATCTCTGTTTCTCTATACCTACTGGTGACATTAGAGATACTAAAAGAAACGATAGAAGACAATAAACCAAAGTGGGGCCCTCAACGCAGTTATGTTATATGATGCAAATGTAAACTTAAATTTGAAAAGTTTCTTAAAAAACAGATACAATATTTTTTATAATTGATGTTTGAACATTTGAGCATTTTCAGGCCAAGAAGAATTCAGGAATACAACAATTTTGATGCCAAGAAATTAATTTCAGACAATTAAAAGCTCCTAGAAAACATCTTTTAGAGCATGGTGTATGATGGGAAACTGTGGGACACACAACTGTGTTAAAATAAGTGGAAAGCTTAGTCATTTTAATTGTTTGCTATCAGCAGGGGTGGTGAGGGGGCTGACCAAACTTATGACCCTAAAATCCTGTCCACTGCCCTGCAACACACACACACACACACACACACACACACACACACACGGACCTCCAGCTTATTGCGGAGATCATTCTGATACCAGAGGCGGGTTAAGAAACCTTCAGTCTGTTAAAACAGCAGTAAGCAGTGCCAGACACACACTAACATCCTGCTAACGTGACTCTTCCACGCACTGGCCGCTGCGTAAAAACGCACATGTGCCAAAACGCGAGAACAGCGAACACCAAACAAACCACACCAGACCGCTCCTCACCTGTGATAATCTCCCGCTTGGCTTCATCCAGGTGACTGGAAATGACGTCCCCCATGGTGGATGAAACTCAAAAGTCCCAGACCGACTCCACTGCAGGTCTACAACTAGTCTTTTAAGACAAATTTGCGGAGAATCCGTTAAGAGAAGTGCAGACACTTGTAGAGGCCCTTCACCTCCTCCTCTGTTTCTCCCCAACTGACTGAAGGAAAAGACGGGCGGTGGCGAACACTCCAGACAAGGAGGGGAAGAAAAAAAGTCGGCCAAGTAACAAACGTTGGACTATTTCTCGCAGAGACACACCCTCCTTCAAAGAAGGAGAGGAACTCCCACCCTCCAGCGGCGGTGCGTTCAGTGTATGTGGGGAAAACGGAGAGACGAGCCTCCGACCTGAAAATACATCAGGGCTGCAGCTACTGAGAAATACTGAGGTCGTAGGTTTAAGTGTAGCTACATCTTAGACCAAGAAGCGATACGCAAGTGTCTCTGCTACTTTCAGACTGATGCAGTTGTCATTTTCCCGTGTTGTTTAAATGGCAAATACACTTGCACCAGTCTGTGCGCCCATGAATGTGTTGTCAGGAGCATTGTTGGAGCATTGGTATCATGAAAGTGAATGACCAACAAAAACCTGGTCTGAAGTCAAAGGCGCAGTATCGCACTGTTATTTGGTCCAGGCTCCAGAGAGGGAACCTCCAGCTGTTGTAGGAAAAGCTACTATCCTTTCCTACAACAGCTGGAGGTTCCCTCTCTGGAGCCTGGACCATCACAGCACAACCTCAGAGGGTCGCAGCATTCTAAATACAGAATAATCAAGGTTATTATCATTAACTAAAACCAACTAACTAACGAAAACTAGATGTGAGAAAACACTTTCATTGAAGTGGATTTGCCCATGAATTAAATGGACTTTAGACCATGCGCTTGGGACTGTTAAAATAGAGTCCATTGAATCTAATTCTGTGGGAAACACTACACCATTATAATAGCAATTAGCCAATGTGCAAGCGCACCTGACTTTTAAAGGAAAGTGGAGATGGCAGTGATTGGTTTATTGTATTTTTCACCCAAAACACTCCCATGAATACAGACATGTTTTAAACTGTAAAAATCCTTTGCTATGATTCATATTTAGTTTAACATGGTTTTCACACATAAAAACTGGGTCTGAAGCTCATCTCCTCTTACTTCCTGATTGAGAAATCTGGATCAGGCCTTGTGCCCCGCCCACCACCTGCTTGCTCCAGGTGGACAGAAGTAAGAGCAGAGTATCAAGATGGTTAGAGGAGGAAACATCAGAGAGACTCAGTGGCTGACACAGTGTTAGTAGTTGTGCTAACGCTAACTCTCTCTCTCTGTACTGACAAGGTTTTAGGTTTATTAAGCCCCGCCCCCTGTCCCCACAAGTTGACAGGATTGGTTCCTTAGGTTTGTGACATATGAAACCCTGGCTGTCTGATTCTGCTTTTATGAGACTCATTGGTTCACTGCAGTTCAAGGTGGAAACACTCAGTGATGGTGTTGATGATTATTTCATTCATCATATGTCTTTATTATATAAAAACATCATATGGATGTTAACATGGTTAAACTGGATTTTCATCAGAGTGTCTTTAAGAGACTAGGAGCCTGAACCATGTGTCTGGCACAGCGACTGTTTTTTCTCCTTTAATCTTACAAAGGGGACATAGACACGCCCTAAATGCACTTGTGCGTTGGACTGTTAAAATAGAGCCATAAGTCACAATCCTGAAACCAACAGATAAATTCAAAGAAATGTTTGAATTATTTGGATTTTTCATCACCTGTTCAGCTTCTTTCTGTAAATGTGATCTCTCAACATGAAGGTTTACATGGTGTTTGAAAGGCCTCTCCACACTGCCAGGATCACAGTTCTCATCAGGAAAAAGCTAAAGATTACAAAACAAATGTCACATTTCACATGTCAGTGTGCCGGTGTGTTTACAGGCGTATAAAGAAACAGAGAGAGAAATTAGAAAAACGAACTGTAGCTCATTCACTCCTAAAACTCCAGAAGTTTCAGTCAACTAAAGATTGGCAGTGTAAGAAGATGATTCACATTGCATCTCTAAATAACATATAACCAAGCCCAAACTCGTGGGTGGCCTTAGCCTGCCTAACTTTGAGCAATATGATTGGGCTGCAAACTCTAGAGCGTTCATTTATTGGCAAGATGCATTTCCAGGTAAAGTCACCACTTCCACCTCTTCACTGCTGGCAATAGAACAGGATCTCCTCTCTGTCCCCGCTCTCCTCTTCTCACCAACCAAATCTTCAACAACCATCACAGGTTACAACTTTTTGGTACCTGGTCTTTAAAAATGTGGTTATCTAAAACTGTAAACTCTAATGAAGCAGGTCCCTGACTCAAAGAAACTCGTCTCTCCAGTTCTCAGTTTTTGCATCACATAACCCGTTTTCCACACAGCGTTTAAAGGAAGCCTGGGAGAATGACCTCAGTGTGGTGATCGGTGATGAAGATTGGGAGGCTTGCCTTAAAGCTATTCACAGCTGCTTTATAAATTCCAGACACCAGCTTATTCAATTTAAAGTAATCCATAGACTGCACTACTCCAATCTGCCCCAAATGTAAATCAGCAGAGGGCACCTCTTCCGATCTTGCCCCAAAGTAAACTAATTCTGATCAGATATTATATATAAGTGCCTTTCTGAAGTATATAACTGTGCTATGACACCATACCCATATACTGCCATTCTAGGTCGGGCCCATCACTCTTCAACTTTAACCCATTTGCAACAAAAGGCAATACGATTTTGCACGGTCACTGCAAAGAGGAACATGTTAACCTTTGGAAAACAGAAGATGTGCCTTCTTTTAAGACTTGGCTATCAGAGGTCACTAATCTGTTACATCTGGAGAGGATTAGATAAACTGTCTGTCTTCACTCTACAACCTTTGATGAAATGTGGCAACCACTTCTGTCTTATTTATCAAGAGTGGTCTAAAGCATCTATGTAAGTGCTGATATGTTTGAGCATACAGATGTATATAAATAGTATGTTTGTATATGTACAGTGTTTATGTATATAGCTATATATGCTTCTCTTGGTAAATGTAATATACTGTAGACATCCATTTTCTAGCTGGCGCTATATTACGATCTTAACTGTTATACCTTGTATCGTGAAAGAGGAGGGCTTTGTTTTTAATTTTATTTCATCTTTTCTCTTTTCTTTCCTTTGCTGTCTGTCTCCTGGAGTGGTAGATCCCTTTGTATTTGTTTAACTGGTTTATGAAATTGAAAACTTAATATGAAAAATATTGACTCACTCCTCAGTAGAAGAGCAGGGCTAATTTTTGCCCCCAGCTGGATTTGTTAGATGCTGCAAATTAAAATCCTACAATCTACCTCAACATGACGCCAGTGAACTGATACAGTCCAGGGCCTCTCTGAAAACTCACATTATTTATATGTTCTTCTGTTTATGTGTTTCTATACTTGTGTGTTTCATTTAATCAGGCAGGAATCAAGGTCTATCTGGTTATTATTAGTCCTTTAACCTCAGGATTAAAATGATAGAGGGCTGGGTTTCATATTTATACACACAGTTTTGAAAAATGCATATTTGAAAAATATATATAACAATGTCTCGGAGAAACAGTGTGGACACTTTCACTTGAGGAGCTGATATTCTGGTTACTTCTCCTTTGCCGCCCTCTCATGGCCGCCAAACCCAACTGTCTCTTCTTTCTGGAATAGTCTGAAGTGCGCTCCTACATGATAGGCTGGTGCCACATCCTTGGCCTGAGCTCTGTGGGCACCAGGGAGTAGTTTTTAATACCCTTCATAAAGTCCTAACACGTAATCTGCGGCAGATTTTCAGAACATCCAGCAGGTATCCCAAGATTTGCGTTATCTCTAAATATTAAGATTTTTATATTTAAATAGAAGTCAAATCTTGGGTTTTAAAACATCTTAATTCACTTTTATTTGTCCTTTTTACATTTTTAAGGTGTTTTATAATTATAATGAATATATCATAATGGCTTTTGACATCCCTCTGTTATGGTAGGTCCTAACTGAATAGCAGACATTGGGTTTCTGGTTTTGACATGTTATTTTCAAAATAAAAACCAGAAAACAATAGTCTTAAATTGGACTGCATTCAGCAGCAGAATTAGAGCCCCACCGACAGTTGCTTTAAAAAAAATCAAATTTAATGACTTCAAATACAAAAACCAAAATGTTTTGAAAAAATTTGAAACTATTTGAGTTTGAGTTTGCGTGTGCAGAATGCACTGTAAACACACAGAGCGCAGGGGTTGGTCAAGTTTGAGTAAGAAAACAGTTGGTGAGTTTTGAAAGATGTGGTCGCCTAGTGCTGCTCTTGGTGGGAATTGTTAGGTCTCTGTAAATAATGCTCTATTTGGAAAGTGCCTTGAGATGACGTATGTTGTGAATTGGCGCTATACAAATAAAATTGACGTGGTGCTTGAATGCTTTTTGTGTCATAGTGATGAAAAGGGATCCACACAGACTGCTGTTGTGCTGACGGTGCAAAGAGCTTTGAAAAAGTGGACTCAGTTGTGAGAAATTAGTTTTTAGCAATTTTATAAAACTTGATATACGTTTAATAACAAGGCTTTTATTTTGAATTTAAGTGGAACGGAAATGCGCGGCTTGTTCTCTTAAGCTTGACAGAAGTGCACCGCTCAGTTGAGGAGAACTGGACGCGCAACACAGGGGTCATCATGGCACCACTGGGACTAAAAGCAGTTGTTGGAGATAGTAAGAACTGATTATTATTTTATTTATTAGAATATTTTCACTTTTGTAAAAGGTTGGCAAAGTCATCATCCACAGCTGATGTAATGATTATTATTCCACAGATATGTAAACCCATTGCATAGGCATGAAGGGCTACCCCAGACCTTTACTGTGAGATGAGCGCTATGTACATGTTCTGATTATTGATGTTAATATAGCACAACGCAGCCCTGCTTACACTTGTTTGTTTTTTTTATTCTGGGAAGTTCGTTGCGCAAAAGTAGCGCAGATTCACTCGAACCATGCGGCTCTGCAGACGGTTGTTTCTCCACATGTTATTGTCAGTGAGATTGAGTCTACTAACACGAAGCAGTCTGGTGCTGTTCGGTTGGACTTTAATGGAAGTTTCTGTGTTCACTGGCCCGTTTTTGGCGTTTGTCATTCATATAAGAGCACGGTCCTGGTCTGGTGTAAATCCTGCCTCGCTAATCTTTGCCTGTGTGGATTAAGTGCTGTGACATCATTGTCAGAGGAGGAGAGGTGCAGGGGGAAGATCCACAGTAACAACCAAACAAGCGTTTGTTTCTACTGTCAGCTGCACATAGTCCATAATGAAACATCATGCAGTCATTATTTTAGACTGCATGTCATTGATGTTTTTTCTTTGAAGGCCTGTGTGAGATTTATAAACAATCACTAGCTACACGTTGAATCAATGGATTATAACACACTGTGTGTAGCTGTAAGCACATACAGTTGTTTATTACTGTAAATGACGCATGAGTGGAGGCTGCTGTATGGCAAGATAATGAATGACATGACACTCAGACAGTTGTAATACTGTCAATGTATCTTCCTGGAGGAGAATTTATATTTGTTGACTTATACTGTATATTAATGAACAAGCAATGCCCTTATATCTGCTTATAAACACATTATAGTGTGTTATAAACTATTAGTGCTAATAAATGCTAATAAATGCTAAATATGGGGACTTAAAGTTAAACCTTACCATTTCCAGTCTCAGTGTTGGATTTAATGCTGCCTCTTCCTAATGAGTCACTCTTTTATAAAGGTTTAATGAATTATAAAAAAAAAAGGAAAGAAGAAAAGGATGTCAATACCAAACTTTTTTGGCGCATCGGTCATGAAAAATTCAATTAGCTGGTGGTTATCCCTTTTATTTGGTAATAAGTTAATAATATTGGTAATATTGGTAATCAATTAATAAATGCTCAGTGAGTTGTTAATGAATTGATTTTGGTTCAGGTTTATGGCAGCCTTAGATTCAGCAACCAAGTTTTAGTCAGTGATCTCATAACATTAATAAAGTCATAAGTTGCAACTTATTTAGGCCTTTTAGATGGTGGGCTGTGCAGTGTGCTAATATAATTTACTAAACTGTACTCTTTAACTTCTGTAATTAATACTCTGTAATAATAAGTGAACTCTCTGCAGTGGCTGAGGATATTTCTGTTGGTTCATATTTTACTGTTTGAGACAGGCTACGAATTCACAGTGACATCAATCATGTGAAACTTGTGGAAATCTCAGTGATCATTCCGGAAAAGGATAAATTTACTTTCCAAGTATATGCCATATTTTTGAGTCATTACGAGCCCTGTCAGGATGAATCATTTCTGCTGTGGCATCTCGTGAACAGATGTAGTTGGCAGTCAGCAGATCTCCCAGAAACAGGATGTATTAAATATTCAGCCTGTCATTTTCTAGAAGCTAACACATTCTGCCAAGGGAACAGGGACTCATTCGGCTGTTCAGAGCTGATCAGTTTTACAGTAATATAAGTGAAAAATATCAATAGAATAATATTTTCATGGCAATTTCTATTGGGAAAAAAAAACAAAAACTGAAACACAGAAGAGTAAGAAGACCTGTCCTGTCCTAGCAAGAGTTTATTTCTTCAAAAATGAGCTATGGGCCTCTAATGACTCCTGTGTGTGATAATATGTAGGAAAATGCACTATATACATTTTGACAGGTAATGCAGGATTTCTCTTAAGGGTGCCTGAGTGCCTGGAGTCCCAATACAAAACTTTGAAAACAATTTGATATGCACTGAAACAAGTGAGATAATCTGACAATCTGTCACTGTTGTGTTTGTGCCAGGACCAGAGACATTTGGGTTGTCCGTCAGTCTGCCCATTCCATTCATATGGATTCAAGGATGAACTGATTAGTTTTTGCTGGTCAAATGTCAAAGGTCAAGGTCACGGTGACCTCGTAAAATATGTTTTTGAACATAACTCATGGATTCATACACTAATTATGACAAATGCATAATAGGATAAAATGAAGTGATGACATTTTATATCCAAAAGGTCAAAGGTCAACTTCACCGTGACATCAAAATGTTCTGTAAAAATACTTCTGACCATTATTCAACGCTGTAACTTCCTGTAACTTGACTAGTTTGGTATTCTAGTGTCAGCTTGATTAGCTGGCCCCAAGAAAGAAATAACTGTAATGCAGCTTTATTTTTTAAAGAGGTAATACTTGATCCAAGACCTTTGAGTTGCCACAGAATCGCTGATAATGAAGTGAAACAAACTGCCAATGTAGTCAGATTATCAATTTAATCAAAATACACATCCTGTATCATTAAAATGATATTTATAGACAACTAATTTAAAGAATGCAATGCTATCCAGATTACATTTCACAGATTACACTAAAACATAATCAGGATTTGAATTGAATGTATCTGCAAAACATTCAGAACCAGACAATTGAAATAAAGAAAAGAACTAAAGCACAAGGCAAACAGAGCAATGTTTCCTCATATATATATATATGTATGTATATATACATATATATATATATGTATATTTTTCTATCATGTATTTCTCTTTTTTTTTTTCACTAACAGAACCGAGCTTCCACATTTTTATGATTGTAGCTTTTCTATTAAAAAAATATATATTCTAAGTGCCATGTGTATTAGTTTGACACACCTTATTTGAAAAGAATGTTATGTTGATTCTCTATTCAACATGGACACAGCAGTGCTTGTGGCAGGGCTGTAGAGGTTTGAAGAAGAGCTATTCCCAGATAGGTAGAGCTAGTTACTGTGATAAAACACTATATGATAAACCTGGATTATAGACCGATCTATCAGCTGCAGCAGCCTGTTGTTGTTTATCCTGCTTATGAAAGTTGCTTGTCAGGTGTCCCATTCCTTCACTCACCTCCACTTAATCCCGATGACTAATTGGATAAACAGGACCATTCACTGATGTATATGTGGTTTAGCCTGCTGTCATTACTAGTTTTCGTCAGACAACAGAGTCTGACTGACTGGAGACTGCGTTTTGAAATATCTGATCCACCTTTATGGAAATGTTTATGATTAATCATGTAAATATCATGTAAATGTTTCACTAAATCTGTGACAAACATCTAAGAGCTATCTCATATTTCATGTTATATGTTACGTGTCCTGAGTGTCATGATGATGTCGTTCTAACATCTCAGGAGCAGCTCTTTACGTGAAATGTCACCCCATCCCTCTGCGGAAACAGGACATGTTGACTTGTTTTGGAGGATGAGAATGTGTGTGTGTGTGTGTGTGTGTGTGTGTGCGTGTGTGTGTGTTCGTGACATCACATCCGCTGACACAGAAACGGCCCAGAATGGTGGATGGGGTAAGAGGATTGGGAGCAGATTAGATGCAGTGATTGCAGTGGGCCCTTCATGTTCAGGCTGACAGACTGGACAGGACTTAAAACCCCAGTGGGGAAAATTGGGACGCTGCTCATCAACACGAGTGACAGGATGTTGTGAAACGTGGGATTCTGTCTCTCAAACATCACACCTCAGGAGCTGTCTCACCTCCTTCTGTTATTCCCTCTGTCGTATAGATAATAATACATTATATAAGGTATGATGTACCTGCTGCGAGCTGTGCTGCTGTACACTTTCCTCATGAGAGGATCATGTTCCTGAGTTTTCCTGCTGTGCAGTTACTGCAGCTGTGGAGGCATTTTTCCCAGTGGAAAAGGATTTGCACAATCACGCTGTCATGACATGTACATACAGTATGCGTTCAGAAAGTCAAGTTACTGTTATCAAGGCTGTCACATCAAAAGCGCAGTGTTCAGGTGTTTTAACAAGGGCTCCACAATTAATCAAAATATAATCGAAACCGCAATATGGCCAAGTGCAATATGCAAATCTCAGGAGCTGTAATTTTTTTTTGATGAAGGTGAAAAGTGTCACAACATTGTTGTGTGTTGTTAGCGCCATAAGTGTAGTGGTGGCCTACAAATCATATTCTCCAGATGTAAAGGAACATGTTTGTTGGGTACAAGACCAACAACAATCACATCATCATTATTTTTATTTTTTTTTCTGTGAAAATAAAATGAAAAAAATGATCATTCCAACTGAAATCACAATATCTGCCAAAATAATCACTATACGATTTTTTTTTTTTTTTCATATTGTGCAGCTGTAGTTTCGACCTGTTTTCGGGTTTATATTCCTTTAACTCTTGACAACAATGACATGATATTTGGATATACTGGGTCAACTTACAGAAATGTTCTTTTTTTTAATCAATACTGACAAGAATCAAATGCTTCAAATCCTTTGCCATATGTTGAAGAAAATGTGTACATTTTGCAGTGAGACATCATAACTGAAATGATATATTGTACTTCCATTGTGCATCTTACTAAAACAATTCTTCTTATGTTTTCACAAACTATGGACAGAGAGTGGGAGAAAAGGGGAAATCAATAGGCTCACTCATTATTTTTCCCAGATTATTTAATCCAGCAGAGTTAAAGTCAACATTACACATTAACACATTTGATGTATTGGCAAAATATAATTAAAGCTCTATATTTTCCTCTCAACCTGTTTTTTTATTTATAAGTGTTTATCCATAAAAAGATATATTTATGGTTTTAAGAACCAAAAACCATCTCAGTGTAGTTTCACATCTCCTCTCTCAGGCTTCTCTCTGGAGCTCTAGTAACAACAGGTCGGTGAGCCAATCAGAGGAGAGGAGGCGCTGAGAGTCTCTTCTGTTTTCTGAGTGATCCAGTCAATAATATAGCAAATTTCCGGTTAACACTCAGAGAAACCAAATCTCGCAAGGTTTGATACTGTATATATACAGAAATGTTTGCACAAAAACCAGATGGAAGACAAAGTGAATTTGAGTTGAATGTGAGTTACAATCAGCTCTCTAAAATCAAGCATAATATCAAATTTGAATTTCTTAATGTTATTTTCATACATTATGCTTGTTCATGGTAAGGGTTAGTGATCCTGGGTTTAACACCAGACTGTTGAGAATGATTTGGTCATTCATCATTGGTGAAGGTTTTCAGGTTTTATGTTGCTTTCTTAAATGACGTGTAATTACATTTTCTTTCTTTACAGAGATAATGAACAATGTCATCAAGAAGGCAAGAGAAAAAGGAAAATGGAAGGTAATGGTCCTGTTGTTGTAATCATTCATTGAATACTAATACAGCCACTCAAAATATTGAAATAAAACTCTTCTGTGTGTAACTGTGTTTTAGGTGCTGGTGGTGGACAAGCTGAGTATGAGGATGATTTCCTCCTGCTGTAAAATGACAGACATCATGTCAGAAGGAATCACCAGTAAGTCCAACCACCCTGGTCACCTCAGCTCACTTCACCTGTAACTATAAAGTCAGAAAAACTAAAGGGGACAGAGGATTTGCAGTCAGGCCCCAGAGGCTCTGGAACAATCTGCCCAAGGCTGAATCCGAGACCTCCTTTAAGACTCGTCTTAAAACATACGAGAGCTTTTCCTGGTTTTACTTTCCCCTTGAATTGTTTTATTTCTCTTAAAATAACTCTGTATTGGTTTTCATTCCCCTGATTGTTTTTCTTCTCTTGAAATCTATTGATTTTTTTTTGCTGTCTTTGTCAATCACTTTGTAATGTAGCTTTTGAAAACTGCTCTACAAACAAGGATTATTTTTATTATCATTATTATTATAAACTGGTAGAATTCTTCTCATCTCACTCTTACAAAGAAAGAAAAAAGTATAAGTGTATGTCACAAAATGTCAAACTGTGCTTCTAAGAAAGAATAATCATTTGGATTGAATAACACAATTATGTTATTATTATGTTATATTATAAATATTTAGTGTAATAATGATGTAATGAATGTGACGTAGTAAAAAAGAATCACTGGTTCAAATGCAAAAAAAAAAATATAGTAGACACTAAGTATCTGCCCTGTTGTTTCCCTCCATCGATGTAAACTGGCAAGATTATAGACATATGATGTAATGTTAGTCATTAATAAAGGAGAAATGTCTCACAGCCGATCCAGAAAAACAAAAGCCCCTTTGACTCCGAAAGTAAAGGCTGAAATGATATCTACACCCCAATAAACAAATAACACAGTGACTGATTTACCATTAGCTGTTACTTGCCCGAATATACAGAAGAATAAAAATGTTTGGATGCCAACAAAGAATTGAGTGCAGCCTCCCAGCAGAGGCTACACTGAGAAATGAAAAGCTTCAACTGTTTGCTGTGTATTCAGGTCACTCATGTTCCTTCGTGCAGAGATTCTGCGTAAACCTTAAACACTGACTCACCTGACGGCGGTGAGGGTCCTACACACCACAAACTCAGACAGCTGAGTTCCAGTTTAATCAAGCTGTTGATAGAATATTGGTTCAAGTGTTGATTATGTTTGTTTTCCTGTGCTCTCCAGTTGTAGAAGACATAAGCAAGCGGCGTGAGCCTCTACCCAGCATGGAGGCCATCTACCTGATCACGCCCTCAGATGAGGTAAATGAAGGCTGTTGATAATCCTATTAAACAGAACCCACTGACGTCTCATTGAATTTCTGCATCCTACAGTATGTTGAAAATTTGTCCAGCAACTGAGAAATGCTGCTTTTTTAGTGGGTGTTATAGTGAGTTTGTGTGGTGGGGTGTTGCTCTTCTTTTAACTGTTATGTTATGATAAAATAGGAAACACACTGGGTTATTGTTAAATATTTCTTTCCACTAACTTTGTGAACAGAGCGATGACTTGTGAGTTAAAGCGTTGTTCTCTGCTGTCTCAGTCTGTTGAGGGTCTGATCGCCGACTTCAGAGACCCGCAGTCTCAACAGTACCGAGCTGCTCACGTCTTCTTCACCGACAGTGAGTAAATCCAGTCCACACCAACAAATTATAGACGGAACATTTACAAACTCAAAGCTCAACAAGAAACTACGGAAGCGCATTGCATTGACAGAGTAAAAAAATAAAAGAGACACCTTATCTCGTACTTACGAGATCAGGAGCTCGTAAAATATGAAAAAAACCGGAAAGGTGCCTCAAACTGGCCACTGCTTTGCTCAGGAGAACCACACTGCTGTGAAGCATCTCTGCTGAATGAGACTCTGCTGATGCAGAAGGTTGTGATGAAAGATAAAATGACTGTCACACTGATAAAATCCCTCCTCATAGTTTTACAGTGCCCTGTGCCTGTCTTGATGTATTCAGACTGGACTTGTGGATGTGGCTTCTGGGTGGTGCTCGATTCTACTTTTCCCATAATGCAATGTTCTTTCAAACTCCATGTCCCAATTTGTATGGCAGTCTACTCATTGATCTTATGTATGTGTAATACTGGTTCTTCTTGAAGAGAAACCTTATTTTCTTTAAAAATAAAATGTGAAATAAAATGTTTTCCAATCTAAGAAAATAACAATATCCAAGACTGACATTCACAGTGTTTTTCTCTGACTCTCTGCAGCAATCCCAGACTCCTTGTTTGGGCTGTTGACCAAATCCCGAGCCTCAAAAGCCATGAAGGCCTTGACTGAGATCCATGTCGCCTTTCTGCCCTATGAATCACAGGTAAGTCTAGTCTAGTCTGTCTAGTCTGGGATTAGACCACGGCAGCCGCTCATAACCATCTATCTCAGATATGATGAAGGATGTCAGTCAACCTGCAGAGAAACCTTCCTCTAGTGTCACTTTCTTCATGCTAAGATGTTGGATGGGACATTCTTGTAGCATTATTTGATCCATGTGCGTGTGCATACTTTGGATGGATGTATTAACTTACGTTTGATGTATTTTTGTTATTCCTCCGCACATGCGACAGCCAGAGCCAGAGACATATTGTTTACGGGTTGTCTGTCCTTCCGTCTGTCTGTCTCATTCTCATGGACATGATATCTCAGTAACTCCTTGAGGGAATTTTTTCAAATTTGGTAAAAAATATTCACCTGGACTTAAAGACAAACTGATTAGATTTTTGTGGTCAAAGGTCAAAGTCACTGTGACCTCACAAAACACATTTTTGGCCATAACTCACAAATTCATTCACTAATTATGACACAACTTAAGTCAAATGTCTATAAGGGTTCATTTATATCCAAATGGTCAAAGGTCACCTTCACTGTGACATCATAATTTTCTGCAAACACACCTTGCCATTATTCAATGCTGTAACTCAGGAAGGAGAGACTGTGAGCATATCTCCTGATACTTGGCTGCTTAGTGGAGGCATACAACCACCAGGCAGGAATTCTAGTTTTCCCATATATCGCAAGGTCTAAGAATTCCCCCTTAACATCTTCTGTAACGTCTTCTAACTAGGGATGCTCATTTTGAATTTTTATTCTGACCGATAGCCGACCCTCGTTAACCGACCAGTAACTGTTAACCGACAAGATCAAAATGTATTATTTAGAATGGAATACCAATATATATATATCAATATATATACATATATATGTACGTATATATGTATGGGTTAATTTTTACATGTGCAGAATCAGCATAATAGCCTAGATATACTTATAACTTAAAATAAATAGCAAATCGCAGCCAGACTTTCTAATGTATAAACAGTTTAACAAAATGAAAACACACACTGAATCCTCCAGCAGCAGGAGCACTGTAAGGAAAACCTCCTCCTCCTCCTCTTCTTCCTCTTCCTCCTCCTCCTCCTGCTCCTCCTCCTCCTCCTCCTCCTTCTCCGCTCTCGGCTAATTAATGATCAAAAGCAGCCAACAGGTGAACAAAACCTAAACTGGTAGTTGCATCTTCAGAGCTCAAAATAAAAGAAACAGGGCAGGTCTACCTCCGTCCTCAGCATGGCGGACAGCTTGTCTACTGGTGTTTGTTCAGAAATAGCAACATGTGGACATGCTGTGGGGTTAGTCTGCTGTCAGTCTGTTAACTGTGAGACCGGATGATACCGATGTCCCAGGAATGCACAGATAGCACCTGCTAGAGCGGCCAGCCTCAGGAAGCACATCTGATTCGCTTCCCACCAGTCGAGAGGATTAGTGTCCGATGAGCGGGATCATCTCTCATATATGTATAAACATATTTTTTAATTGTTTAACTGATAGTATTAATTGGTCAAAATTATTTTTGACGGTTAACGGTTAAATGGTTAATTATTAAAATCCCTACTTGTAACTATAAGACATTTTGAAGTCTGATCTTAAATGTAGAGAGGGTGTCTGCTTCCTGATTCCAGACTGGGAGCTGGTTCCACAGGAGAGGAGCCTGATAGCTGGAGGCTCTGGTAGAGTACTGTGAGCTTCTTTTTTAATTTAGAGAAGCTAAGAAAGAGGAACATGATCTCTTTTTCTGGTTCCTGTTGGTTCTCATGCTGCAGCATTTTTGAATCAGCTGGAGGCTTTTCACTGAGTTAGTGAGACATCCTCATAATAAAGAATTACAGTGGTCCAGTCTAGAGGAAACAAATACATGGACTAGTTTTTGGACACAGTGTTGCACAGGTGGAAGAAGGCTGTCCTAAAGACTTGTTTTATGTGTGAAGTAAATGTCCTGGTCAAAAGTGACCCCAAGCTTTCTGATGGTAGCACTGGAGGCTGAGGTGTTCCATCCAATGTCTCTCTGAGATGTTTCTGTGCTGTGATGGACTTTAAATCCTGATCCAAAATCAGATAAAAGGTAAATAATCGGGGGGGTTGGATATCTATAGTTGGCTAAAACATCTGGATCAAGAGTAGGCTATTTAAGTAGAGGTTTAATTATTACAAATTTCATTTGTAAAGATGTTTTGTTTGCAAAGTGGGTTGAGAAATGTTCAAGGAAAGGATGAATTCAAATATAAGCAGGAGGCCCCTGCCAGTGCTGTAGGAAAAGTCAGAGCACCATTTCCTAAGCAAAGTGAGAATATATTAAATTCCCCGCCCCCACACACACCTCCGCCCCCACCTGGGCCTGTGATATTAACACAGTCCCTGAACAGAGGGGAGAAAGAGGAGCAGACTGACTGTTTTGTGTTGGATCAGCTTTAGTCGTCAATCCTCTGCTGCTGTCCTGTAGTTTTAATCCTGAGAGGGCAGAACAAATCATACCAGCCCCACAGCCCCGCCCTCTTCTCAACCCCTCTACCTCATTGGCTGACGGGACCAATGCTCATACTCCGCAGGCAATGGGAGTTCAGATGAGCCGTGTGACAGGAGAAAGCACAGGGATTGTTGTCTTGTGAGTAACAGATGGGTGCATGTGTACTTGTTGTTGTTTGTAAGTGAGTGTGGGTGGAAAAGGGTTTAATTAGTGTCAGCCAGTGCCAGAAGCTTCTGGAAGCCAATATATCTTCTTTTATTATTGTGCCTTGAACCATTTTAAGCCCAAATTATTATTATTTCCTGTTTCTGTCATAGATGAAACCTTTCAAAACACCGTTTGTATCATCACAGGACACTAACACTCTTTATCAAAGTATATTAGTGCATACCAGAATTGACCGGTCCATCAATGAATGATGTTCACTGAGTCCCAGTCCATATTTTGGTTCCACATACAACAACCACCTCTCCTTTGGACTGGGATCAAAAACAATTTCCAGCACCTCTGGGGAAATCACTCATAGATGTCACTATGTCCCAAAACCAGGTCCTGCTGGTATCCCAGTCACTATCAAGGTTAGATTCATTAGTCATTAGATTCATAGTCATTATTCAAACTGTACTGCTGCTATTTCTAAATTAACTACAATAACTGCACAGACCTCTAGAATTGTTCCCAGCTTGGATTGTTATCAGCTTCCAAGCCACTTTCTTTATCTACCTTTACTCCTCCCAAGTCTGAACAAGATATTCCTTCAATCATATCTATTAGGTCAACTGTTAGACCTTATATACATCGCTCCAGAAGTTTGCTTCAATATCAAGAATTGGATCATCTCAGATGGACCGTCTTGAGATCTTGAGATGATCCAATTTTGACATATTGGTGCTGACTGAGACTTGGCTACAGAAAAATAGGAGTGACAAAATTGCTGCTTCTGGCGTCTTTGACCTGGGAAGAAGTGACCACTGCCCAATAGCTTGCATTAGAGCTGTGCGGCTGCAGAAAGCTCAGTCACAAATTGTTTTAAAGAGAAACTTTAAAAATTTTAATGAGCCTTCCTTCCTTCCTACATGATCTTAATCATAGTGACATTTTAAATATATTACATATCCCAGATGCTGATTAAGCACTGGATCATTTTATAAATATTTTTAACTCTGTGGCAAATAAACACTCCCAATTTAAAAAGCAAAGAATTAAAGATAGGTCATGTCCTTGGTTCACCTCTCATATATCAGCCTTGCTCCAATTAAAGAATAAGGCTTGGGTCCTTGCTAGAAAATCTGGAAACCCTGCTCATTGGTTTGCTTTTAGGCAGTTACGAAACAAATTCACAGCGTCAGTAGGGAAAGCTAAATCTGATTATTGTCTAAATACCATCTCTAGCTGTTATTCAAATCCAGCTAAATTCTGGAAAGTAGTGAACTGTAATATCTGATCAAAAGGAAATATGCAAAGCTTTTGATAAACATTTGCTGCAGCTGGTCACCTTTTTAAAACTAGCAAAGTATCAGGTAAATCAGGGAGTAATCCAGGAGTGGATAATGTAAGTCATGTTCCTCAGTTTGCCCTCCAACTTCTCACTCCTAATGAAGTCACTGCAGCACTTCTTGCTGTTGACTCCAAGAAAGCTACAGGAGAAGACAGTCTAGACCTTTTCTTTCCTCGGCTCTCTGCCCTGATGATTTCAGAATGTATAACACTTATTTACTTACTTATTTTAATTCAACCATTTTATCAGATATAATTCCCAAAGTATGGAAGGTTGCCCATGTTACTCCATTACATAAAGGAGGAACACATAGTGACCTTAACAACTACCGTCCTATTTCTAAATTTTCCTGTCCATTCAAAATTCTAGAAACATTGATTAACAATCAACTTAAGACTTTTTGTTAAGCTCTCTCCAGTCTGGATACAGGGCCAACCATAGCACCATCTCTGCACCATCTTTCATTTGAAATGGTATCGTGACTGCAGTGGATAAAAAGAAGCGTTGTGCTGCCTTGTTCATTGACCTGTCAAAAGTCTTTGATTTAGTTGACCATGCCCTGCCTCTACAGAAAGTATTGAATGCTGGGTGTGACTCAGCCGCTTATAGATGGTTAGAAAACTACCTATCTGATAGACAGCAGTTTGTGAAAGCAGGTAATATTTGATCAACTTTTTTACCAATAATGAAAGGGGTCCACCAAGGTTCAATTTGAGGACCGGTTCTCTTCACAATTCATATCAATGACATTGTTCAAACATTAACTAAGTGTAAGGTTCATTTGTATGCAGATAGCACAATTTTATATTGCTGGGCAGATTCCATACAATTGACTGTTGAGAATCTACAGCTCATTGACAATGCATTTCACAAGGTACTCACTGAACTAAATCCTGGTGAAACAAAATATATGTTGTTTTCAAACGCTAAGAAAATTGATTTTAGCCAAATCCAGATTAGCACTACAAATAATTAGGCATCTGGATAGATGACAAATTTACCTTTAGAGTTAACGAGGACAATCTTGTAAAAAAGCTGTGGATGAAACTTGGCTTTTTGTATAGGAATAGAACCTTCTTTCCCATGTACAGTAGATCAAGTATTGTTGAGGCTGTATTTCTTTAAGCTCTGGATTATGGTGATGTCATATATAGACATGCCACTGTCACCACACTTAAGTCCTTAGACACTGTATATCACTCTGCTCTCACATGTCACTGGGGATTCCTGCAACACCCATCATTGCACTCTGTATGAAAAGGTCAGCTGGTCCTCTCTCTCTGTGAGGTGAGATCAGCACTAGTATATATCAATTTATAAATTTACAAATTCACTAATAGACCTCAATGCAGGCACTCATCAAAGCGGACTGGGTCACACTGCATGTTCCACCGGTCAACACACTTTAAATATTGGGACAATTTAGAAATATGCTTTTAAATCTCTTAAATCATAATCCTCCTGAATGTAATTGCTTTTATTAGGAACTTTTATTAGGAACTGATTTTGTGTATTCTGATTGTTTGCTTATTGTCCTTCTGCATTTTTAATCTCGGCATCGTTGAAAATGAGGGTCACCCCTCAATGAATCTCCGAGAAATAAATAAAGGTTGTTGATGATGATGATGATGATGATGATGATGATGATGATGATGATGATGATACATGTGTCAAATATAATCCATCCTTGCTTTCAATCAACTGAGGTTAAAGTGAAGTTGGGGTTATTTGCCGTGGGGTTGTGTGAGGTCGTCAGGTATGCTGCCAGTTTAGAGAAGCAGCAGGGAACACGGTACACTGGCAGAGCGCTGTGCTGCTGTGGGCAGGGCCAGCAGAAAAAAATGTGTTTTAGACGCTTTTAAAAGACGCTGACTGTAACAATCCAATATCCGATTCATGTAGAATATTTTAAGCACTTTATCTCCCCGTCCAAACAAAGTGAAGTTCAGCTCTTTCTGTTTCACTCAGCTGACGTGCTGCTGCCGCGTTCAGCAGTTGAAAAAATGTAGAACCAAAGGAAAGTGCTGTTTCGACGAGAAGATAATGCACTGAAAATATTCTACATGAAGCTACAATTAATGTTTTTAAAGTGTCTAAAACAGGTTTTTCCTGCTGGCTCCGCCCACAGCAGCACATCGCTCTGCTAGTGTACCAGTGCTCCCTGCTGCCTCTGCTAACTGGTAGTACGCTGATCTGAGTCTACTGCAGGAAACACACTGATTATGCATGAATTCCTCATACAACCCCACGTCCAATAATCCCAACTATCCCTTTAAGATATCCTTATAGACAACCAGTACAGCAGTAATCAGTGTAAATGTTGGGCACAGGAATAAAGTTGAGATTAAACCTCAAAGGTTGTGTCTCTGTCATGTCCCACGTGTCCAGGTCTTCTCCCTGGATAAAGTCGATGCCTTTCAGGACTTCTACAGCCCCTTCAAGGCTGACGTGAAGAACAACATGCTGGAGCGTTGCGCTGAGCAGATGGCCACCCTGTGCGCCACACTTAAAGAGTATCCTGGAGTCCGATACAGAGCGTGAGACCAGCTGATTTCAATAGTCTTTTTTTTTTTTTGCTGATTTTAATACCTTTTCAGTCTACTACTACTGATACAGCAATTCTTCAGGAAATAATTATCAATAGACATATCATTAGCAGCATGTATTGGACTCTTTTCCATTTTATGTCCGTATTTAATATCAGTTCACATAGGAAATGTTGATTTTCACATATAAAAGTTTGCCTTTGATCACATGTGAAGTCACATCACATGTGAATGTTTCATTTCACACATGGTGCTATCCTTTTCGCATTTAAAGTTTGCATTCATATTGCTGAAATGTTTTTTCCCACATGTTAACATGAAACTTCAATTTAAAAACATGTAAAATTCGCATTCACATATAAAGATAAAAACATTTTGCTACCACATGGATTTTAAGATACATGTGATTTCACACGTGAAACTTAGGTTTACTTCATGTGTCACTATCGTTTCCACATGCAACGTTTGTATCCACATGTAAAGTTGAAAACATATCTTTTTTTTTTTACATGTGAATTTTGATAACATGTAAAACACAAATGTGATCATGTAAACTGAAACATTTGCTTTTTTCATAAGGGCATTTCCAGATTGAAAAAGCTGTTTTTGTGTGATGCTGTGTGTTGTGTGTGTGTGTGTGTGTGTGTGTGTGTGTGTGTGTGTGCGTGTGCGTGTGCGTGTGCGTGTGTATGTGTGTGTATGTGTGTGTGTGTGTGTGTGTGTGTGTGTGTGTGTGTGTGTGTGTGTGTTGGTTCAGGGAGTACAAAGACTGTGCTGTTCTGGCCCAGATGCTTCAGGAGAAGCTGGACGCTTACAAGGCTGATGACCCCGCCATGGGAGAGGTAGGAGCTTAGGAGCTAAATTACTAAATGACTAGTTTTGAGAAGCAGATGTATTCCTGAAAAGTCACTATGTCAGTTTCTTTTGGATAATGTGCAGGGAATACATTGCCCAGCATTCACATAAAGTCATATATGACCAACATCACCGTGGTATAATCTGTTATAGCAGGCAGGTTACAATACGTACAGGAATTATTTGCAAATACTTCCAAACACAGCCAGACTGGAGGTTGATCCAAGAGACAGGCAACAAGGACGGAGCTGGAGTAGTTAAAATTGAGAACCTAAAGTATGAAGTGCAAAACAGCTGAGCACCTGTGACTGTGGAATTAGTAGTAATATATAAAAGAGTCACACATGTGTATCAGTAAATCGGAGGTCACAGAGAAAAGATGCTATAGGACACTTGTAGATTTTTTCTCTCCCACAAACACAACACAACAGTTTCACCTTCTTCAAATTCTTCATTGCATGTGCACAAATCCTGTTTTACAAATCACAAATTAAGTAACTCATACAATCACATTTTTGCTACAGTTGCTGCAAATAATATATAACTTAAATAACTTTAAAAAAAATACATAGTCTGTCTGTTAACTTTCTCTCTGATCATGTTACAGTAAATCCAGCTGAAATCACAGCTCAGTCTTTGACCTTCATTTATGTGTTGGGTGATTTTGTCAGACAACGTTGCAGTTATAAAATCAGGATCTACCAGATGTGATCCAGACATAGACGAGGTTTAGAACTAGCCTTGTTTAAAGAATGGGAGGTGTAGATAGCTGAAGTCTGTGGTTTGCAACATTTTAAACTTCTTTTGAGCAGATCCTGTGTCATTTAGTAAAGAGTAGATAATAACTGTCAGTCCTCCACAGTGTGTGCAGAGTTGTGTGTCTGTTCTGATGCCTCCAGGGTCCAGACAAGTCACGTACCCAGCTGCTCATTCTGGATCGTGGGTTTGACCCCGTGTCACCTCTGTTGCATGAGCTCACGCTGCAGGCCATGGCCTACGACCTGCTGGGCATTGAGAATGACGTGTACAGGTAACGCTGCAGTTCAGCATGCACCTTTCAGTATTTGTCTGTTATTTTGTTGTTTTCTTACTGTAACTGTCACTTACTTTGGGTTATGTATTTCAGTGGTATTTGGGTTAAGTCAACCCAAATGTCCCAGCCAATATGGTACAACAGTGCCCTGTCTTAGTACAAGGAAGAAGCCAAAAGGTTAATGCACTAACATAAAGATTATGAAATTCTTCAGTGTCGGTCTCCATTGGAAAAGCATTTAATTCCCACTGGCATTTTTTAAAATTTATTTTAACAAATAGAAGACTCTCTCTCCTCGATCCACACATACAGACTATGCTCTCTCGCCCCCTGTCAGTTTTGAGACCAGTGGGATGGGAGAGACAAGGACGAAGGAGGTGCTGCTGGATGAGGACGATGACCTGTGGTTGAGTCTGAGACACAAACACATCGCTGAGGTGTCGACGTGAGTGGCTTTCACTCCCTCCTCACATGCATCTTCCTCTACCGTAAACATAAAGCTCTGTGAAAAGTTGCCACAGAACATTATTCAGCAACACTTTTCATTCATTCTCTGTCTTTGTTCTTCTCTCTTTCTCATTCGTCCTCACAGGGCTGTGACTCGTTCTCTGAAAGAATTCTCTGCCAGCAAAAAGATGAACACCGGAGAAAAGGTAGAGGACGCACTGTCACTGTGCTCAGGTTTCAGGATCTGTTACTGTGTTTCTGCTCCCAGCTGTCCTTCACACAGTCACACAGAGTCCTGTATTCTACCTGAACATTTACTTTTACTTGAAGTAAAAATGAAATGATGGTTGAAGATACCCAGTCAACAAAAATATACTTAAATAAAACATTTATTTTTATAACTTCCCAAAACTGGGCGTCACAGTCATAGTCATAGTGATGTCTCGGATGAATGAAGTTTGGTCTGATATGGGTATAGAAATCCATGTCTTGTTCATTTTTCCAAACAAACAATATTTTGAATCAGATACTCTTTCATTCATCACATGTTGTTTGATTATAAAGCAGGTCTAGCTTCTATATTAATACTGTGAAAGAATCAAAGCTTCAGTCCACAGAGAAATGCACACAGCCTGTATTCAGAAACTGAGCCTTAAAACCAGCTGTCAGGACTTCTGGAACTTTGTGATGTCACTACTATACAGTCACCGCCCTCGGCTATACCCCCAACACGGCCACCCAGACTGTGTGGTGGGCACTTGGGATACCTTTAAAAAGGTCTAAGTTCATATAATTTTTATGGCAAAAAAACTTGACATAACTGGGTACTGAAGCACGATTTATATCAAAATAGTGCTGCGCGTTAAGATATTCGGGACAATAGTAGCAATGGTGCTGTAGATTTGCATATGGATGGTAGGGACATGTCCCTACCAATATATGAGTGAACTCGTTCGCACTATGTTTGGAGTGAAGTCATATTAGATCATTCCAATGTGCCCTTCCAGAGGCTGAGTTTCCAAGATGACCAATTTAGATATTTATGCTAGCATTCGGCTGAAAGTGTATTAAAAAGTATAAAAGTATAAATATAGTCATAAGAGAAGTATTCAGATCCTTTACTTCAGTGAAAGCATCAGTACCACAATGTAGAAAAGTCCTGAAAACATGAACCTACTACAGTCAAGTGGACCCAAAGAATCAAAATAACTGTGCTCATCATGCAGGCAGAATAATGGGCCCCTGTCAGTGTATCATTATAAAATTATTACTCATGCAAGCTGCGTTTGCAGGGGCCTGCTTTAAAACTGTTTTATATACTGTTGGGTTCTCCAGTTCAACAAATGCTATTCATCTATTCATCATTCTATTAAATTATTAATAGATTATATATTTTGTTCGTCAAATATTCATCTGTAATGTAACAAATAACTATAATGTTAATGTAGTGGAGTAAAAAGCACTATATTTGCTTCTGATACTAGTGAAGTTGAAGAACAAATAACTTACAATGAAAATAGAGTACTGTAGTAAATGTATTATTTACACCACCAACACTATAGTCTTTATATTAAAATAAAGAAGATAACTCATAATAAGGTCTATGACTCATCTGTGTCTTTCAGACCACCATGAAGGAACTGTCTCAGATGCTGAAGAAGATGCCTCAGTATCAGAAAGAGCTGAGCAAGGTAAGAGCTGAAGTGTTACTGTACATCTATAAATACGGCATGTTGTCATGGTTCCCAAGAGGCAGGAGGCAGATGTAGTCAGGTCTGAACACAACTGGATCTGTGGAAAACAAGACAGTTTAGGAAGGCACACACCTGTGTAGGTAAGGTCCCACAATTCACACTGCATGTCAGCAGGGTCAGGGCGTTGACCACTGACCCAATGGTCACTGTAACAAAGTCCTCTGCAGAGATGGTAGACCATCTCAACAGTCAGGCCTATATTTCAGTGACTGGAACAGCCACTATAATAAAGGCTGGCAGCCACAATGTTAAACAGCATGAAGAAAAAGCTTCTTTGGGCAGAACTCCAAGCACTATGCCTGGTGACCATCAGGCACTGCTCATCAGCGGACTCATACCATCCCTATGCTGGTGGCAGCTAGGTGGGGGCTTTTGGTTCAGAAATGAAGCATGAATGCAGCTCCAGAGTGACCGTGACCTGAGACTAGGGGCGAGAGTTTGTCTTTCAGCGCGACAATGACCTGAAACACACAGTCTAGACAAGACTGGAGTTGCTTCAGGACATGTCTCTGACTGTTGAGTGACCCAGCCCTGACTCCACAGATCACCACAGATCACCACAGATCATCTGTGGAGAGGCCTGAAGGATGTGCTCACAGACGCTTCCTGTCCAGTCTGACAGAGCCGGAGAGGATCTGTCAGGAAGCATGAGATAAACTGCCCAAACACGGGTCTACCAAGCTTGTAGAGACTTTACCAAGAAGACTGAATTACTGCACTGAATTAAGGATTTTGAATACTATAAATGAGAAATTGCAGTTTTTGATTTTTAATAGATTTGAAACACTTTCTAAAAACTAATTTTCACTGCGAAATCATGGACTGTTGAGAAGGTTGATGGGTAAAAAATATAAATTTTATCCATTTAAAATGAAATCCATGACACAATAAAGTGAAGAGGTCTGAGGCCACTGTATGTGCATGTATGTACAGACACCTGGATAATCTACACTCAGGAGGCAGTTTATTAGGAACACCTTGCTAAAACTAATGCAGTCTAATAAATCAGTCCTGCAGTCATGAGGCTCATAATATTCAGTTTCTATTGCAAGTATCTTAGAGGTTATTTGAATTGTATTGCATTGTACAGAGAGGTATATATATTATATCTGTAGGAGACTGGTTTCAGCAAGGTGTACCTAATAAACTGTCAACCGAGTGCACTTGTAACACATTGAAACAACTGTTCAGCAAAAAAGGAAATGACACAGTGTATGATGTGATAATAAACGATTGGTAATTGGTAATAACAAGAACATTTTTTTGCAGATTTCTCGAGGCACATGCATGAACCCTTAAAAACATGCTTCTTTTGATATTATTTGCAGCTGATTATTTTCTCTGTCAAACTGATGAACAGCGTCTCTCCTCTCTGACCTCAGTACTCAACCCATCTCCACCTGGCTGAAGACTGTATGAACCGTTACCAGGGCACTATAGACAAACTGTGTCGTGTGGAACAGGTAAATCAGAGACACCTCGTTATTTAGTTAGATCTGTCTCTAGACCAGTGGTTCCCAACCTTTTCCAAGTCATGACCCACTTGAAAAATTGTAAAATGTTGGTGGCCCACATCTGAAATACGGTGGCCAAATAATACCTACAACAGAGCGCCTTTTATTGTAAAACAATTGAACATTCAGGATTGAACTGAAAGCAGGGAAGCTGGGTTTTTCGTTTTTGTTTGATGGGGTGAGATCATTTGTCTCTTGACTTCTTTCCTTTGAATTCTTCCTGTTGCTAAACAGAAATCTATCTATGCAATCTTTTAGCTTGAATCAGAGATAGCAAACACGTATTCAACGTGTTCCCGACGGCAACAACATAAAGGTTCATTATTTATCATTAGTTTATCACAGTGATAGGCCTTCATACGACAAAAAAAGAAAGGAGTTTTTAAACATTTTTAATGTTTTTAAAGATAATTTTCTTTTAAAACATTTAAAAACATCATTTTATATTTTTCATAACTACATCTTTTCACCAAAATTGTACTGGTCGGTTGGGAATCACTGCTCTAGACTGTGTAATAATAGCTTAAGTGATGGAACATACCAAACGTGTCCTTCCAATGTGAACAACTAATGGCAGCATGTGTGACTGTGTGTGTGACTGGTGTGGGTCACGTGCTTATTCGCTTTCTGTCCATAACATTCACAGCAATCTCATGTCTGTGTATTAAGTCTGTAGCTGATGTCAGGATGTTGTCAGTGGTAGGTTCCTGCAGTATCAGGACCGCAGTGTCAGGACTGTATTTCTATGTAGTTTTAAAGCTTTATTCCAGCCAAATACTACTTTCTGTCTTGTGGTTGCAAGGAGTTGCATGTTGGGTAGTTTGTGTAATTAGCATAATTAGGTAATTATCAGATAAAATAAAGATGGAATCATATGCTACGGCCTTCGCAGTCACTAGCTCTCGACCAGATATTTGAAAGGTTGGAGAGATGCAAGACACAAGGACATTCAGACATTCAAGATTATAAGCTGTAGACTCACACAAACATATATAAAAACATATATATAAAAAACAATTACAAAGAAAGTGAATGATGCCCGCGACTGTGTGCAGCACCAACAAGAACCTCAGCAACTCCTGAGAGAGACGGAGAGAGAGAGAGAGAGAGAGAGAGAGAGAGAACAAAAATAACATGTTATATTACTAACTCAATACAAATTTCCCTGCCACTATAATTTAGTAGTTTAATGTTGCTAATATAACCTTGGGCAATATTACATTCCTGCAGTAGCCTACCAAAGGCTGCAGTTTCAGGGCCACAGTTTTGTCTATTATCTATAATAATACATAATTTCATTTTATTATTAAAATGGTAGAAGACTAAAATAATTAAGTAATTACTTCACTACTCTTAATATAGCTATTTATTAGAGCTGTCATACTCGCACTTTGATTGCCGTCACTGAATCCAAGAAAACAAGCTCTCCTACTGTCTAAGCTAGATTTCCCATGATACCGTGTGCTGTTGAAATGAACTACTGGAAAGTCACGTTGAGCTTCTGTCTTCTTCTTCCTCTGTCCTCCATTGTTATCAAGGATCTGGCGATGGGCACAGATGCAGAGGGAGAGAAGATCAAGGATCCCATGAGGCTCATTGTACCCGTTCTACTGGACGCCAATGTCGGTGTCACCGACAAGATCCGCATTATCCTGCTCTACATCTTCCTTAAGAACGGTCAGCTGTACACTCCTGTTGTTTTTCTTATCACTTCATATTTGGGAGGAGGGAAGTCCTGCACTATGATGAGAACAGTAGAAAAGCTTTTAAACTGAGACATTTTCTGGTGTTTTAACATAATGTTTCATTTAAATATTAACACACGTTTGCACTCATGTTGTGCTCGTCTGTTTTTTGATGCTAATCCATTTTCAGTTTTCCTTGTGTTGACATGGATTACACCACATTTGAACACGGCATGCTCTCATGCATGTGTGTGTTGCATGTATGGACTGAAAATCTTTGGTGCATGTGTTTGTGGTGTTTGCATGTGTGTGACAGGGGTGACTGAGGAGAACCTGTGTAAGCTCCTTCAGCATGCCAACATCCCACCAGAGGACAGTGACATCATTTCCAACATGGCCCACATGGGCGTTCCCATTGTCACTGAGGTGAGCTGTCCTGACCCACTGCCTCATTATAAACTTTGGCCTCAGGCAGGTCGTCCCCATGTCCTTCTAAAAGGGTAAGGGTTTGGGTTAGGGTCATAAAACTTTCTTCCTTCTTCTTGCTGTGCAGAACGCAACAGAGTGGTTCATGAAGTCGCTATTTCAATAGGAGAATGTGAACATGATTCCTCAATCTCAGATGTCCTGAGCTACAGTTATGTGTAACAACAACATGAGACCAAACAAACAAACAGATTCATTACTGTCAGATTGAACATAATGTAGATTTTCAGAATCACTTGTTAAGGATAAGGCTGGTGTTATTCTGTATTTTTCTGTACGGTGGCTGTGAGAGCTCAACACACAGCATCTTAAGAAAACACATGCAAACAGACATCTTCATCAATTTGACACATGTGCAGAAAATAGTCACAACACAACAGAAGGGGGGACACTAATAAGTGATGAACATTGTTGTTCAATGTCACAAAGCATTGGACAAGTGTGTCCCAGCTAGGTTCATCTTTTTTTTTTTCAAAGTTATTTTTAGGGCATTTTTTGCCTTTATTCTGATGGCGACAGTGAGACAGGAAATCAGACAGAGAGAGGATGATGTGGAGTAAAGGGCCACAGGTTGGACTTGACCCCACGCAGCTCAAGACTACGCCGTTACCTTACATGCAACCAGGTGATCTTGTTCTCTGGAAACACTTGTGTTGTGCTGTGAGTATCTGCAGCCCATGTGTTGTCTGATGAAGATATTTTCTGAATTTGTTTGTGTTTTGTCTGTTTGAATGTGTTTTCTTAAGATGCAGAGCTTTCAGCTCTTAGTGCCACCGTACTTGAGCTCTTAGTGAGGATATCAACTTTATTTGTCTTAGAAAAGGTTCTGCAGTTTCCTAAAACAGCTGGACACTTTAGTTTTAGTGAGAATCACCCAACAAAGAGGAAATAATGCATTGTTTGGAACTATTTTTAGTAGCGGATTAATTCACATTTGGTGTTCTAATGAGTATTTCCAGCAGCAGGACAGTGTGTGTGTTCATGGTCATGAATAGTGCAACAGTGTGGCTCACTGATGGCTTTTTAATAGTTTTTGGAAACAAAGGAGCTCTGTGGCACACACACTCACACGCTCACGCCGTACGCACACACACGCACACACACACACACACACACACACACACACACACACACGCAGTATTTGTTAGTAGGATCAACTCACTGATGGCTGATATTTTCATGGGATTTGTTGACAGCAGGAAAATATTTTATATCACCAGACATCCTTTAAATCTGTCAAAAGAACTGTGTCATGATAAATCTGTCAACCAGAGGCTCAGTGCATCATGAAATATATTTGTGTATTGTTAGTGTTTTTATTTTTTCTATTTTCTTTATGGATTTTGTGGTGGACCTAAAAAATCCCCCAGTGAGCATGTTTGTTGTGGTTTGTTTGGGCAACTGATTCCATATGACCCCGACCTGAAACCATGTGGTTTTCAAAAGACCTTCACTTTCACCTTACCTGTATGCAAACAACAATTCTTTCTAAATAAGTGAAACTGTGCTTTGGATAAGCACGATCACCTCAGCCCAGGAGCACGATGGCCACTTCCTGTAGGAAAAAATGATGTTAAGGCTGAACAATGCTAAATAACTGATCCACTCTTTAAATGTCTCAGTGAGTTGTTCTGCTGATGTGAACAGTGACAGCACATGATTGGCTGGTCTCATTTCTACACAGGGCACCGTCAAGAAAGCCAAGAAGCCGGATCGTAAAGAACGAATCAGTGAGCAGACCTACCAGCTCTCCAGGTGGACTCCTCTTGTCAAGGATCTTATTGAGGTACTCCTCGTGTGCTCTGACTTCACACTGATGTTGGGGATTAGGACATTTTCTGTTAAAGCTCCATGTTTTCCTCTTCTTCTGTGTTTTATTTGAAGTGTTGATCTGTAAGAAGATATATTTGTAGTTTCAGGAACAAAAAACCATCTCAATGTAGTTTTACATCTCGTCTCTCAGGCTTCTCTCTGGAGCTCTAGTAACAACAGGTCAGTGAGCCAATCAGAAGAGAGGAGGCTCTGAGCCTCTCTTCTGATTGGCTGACTGTTTTCTGAGTGATCAAATAAAAATATAGCAGAAACTAAATCCTGCAAAGTTTGATTGTGGGTCCAGGTGGGCGGGGCTTGGTGACTGCTTTGTTGTGACATCACAAAGTTCCAGAAGTCCTGACGGCTGGTTTTAAGGCTCAGTTTCTGAATACAGGCTGTGTGCATTTCTCTGTGGACTGAGGCTTTGATACTTTCACTGTATTAATATAAAACCTAGACCTGATCTATAATCAAACTACACATGGACATCAACCTAAGGAGCTTTATGAAAATGTACCTTTAACTCCTACAGAGAAGCATCTTAACAATATATCTGTTATATCTTCTGCTAATTCTTGAAATGTAATGTTTCTCATGATAAAATCTTCAGGGTAAGGTGACATGTCACCGACTGTTTTCTTGACTGATAAACCTTACTGTGCTTTGTTTTCACATTTAAAGAAAAAACATTACATTTGTAGTGTTGAACGACAAGTATGTCCCAGCTGGGTTCATCACGTCTTTGTTTTGAAGTTATTTGTTGCCTTAACCCAGATAGCAAGAGTGAGAGAGAGAGAGAGAGAGAGAGGAAAGTCAGGCAGAGGGAGAGAGAGAGAGGACGAGATGGCGCAAAGGGCCACGGGTTGTTTTTTCTAACAGAAAACCTTCTTCTGAGTGAATCATGGCAAAGCGGACAGAGAATGACTGAATAACTGAACTGAACAAAGAGTTAGATTACAGAGGAGCGCACTATAGTAATACACACTGTCTGAATGAGGCTTTAGAGAGTAATGTGTGTGAGAACTGTAACATAGGTGATTCTGTTACCGATGCAAACTGTAGTAACATATTTACTTATGAATGTGTTCCCATAGGATGCTATTGAGGACAAACTTGACCCCAAGCAGTACCCATACATCTCCCAGCGACAAGTGTCTGCCAAATCCAGTGCCCCATCAAGGTGTGTAGTCTTTTAATGCATGGTGCCATGTTTCAGAGAACACCTTGCTTAAATAAATAAATCAATCAAACTTACTACTTCTTTTCCAGAAAAATACTTATCTATTTCCTTTCTTCTCATCATCCAGTGCTCGCTATGGTAACTGGCACAAGAACAGGGGCCCCACAGAGATTAAGACGGGACCCAGGATCATCGTCTTTATTATTGGAGGGATGACGTACAGCGAGATGCGTTGCATGTATGAGGTCACTCAGGCCAATGGCAAGTGGGAGGCCCTAATTGGTGAGTTGACTGGGCAGAATAAGCTGACCAGGGTTTTTTTAATTACACTAAACAAACCAAATAATGAACAAACACATAACATTACAATATCAATCAGGCTTGACAACCTAAATAAGATATTAAAGGGTGACAAGAAACCAAAACAAACAGAGGCAAAATAACTCGTATTGTTTTTGCAATATATCCTTCCAGAATAAAGCTGAGCGGGGTATTTATACATGTCCGTACTGTATCGTTTTACTCACCAGGACTACTGTCCAGCCTGTTAAGACAAGACTGTCCTCTGTGGCTCCGGATGAGCTTTATCAAGTCTGAGAAAATAACACTGATGATGTCATAGTGATGTCATCAGCTTGGTCTTGGTAACAGCAAATTTAAAACATAGTCTGCATAAGACTGAAAGTCCAGATTTCAACCTTCAAACCTTTCTTTTAACAACTATGTCCCCCAACACAACTGAAATGAAATACAAAATTGGTGCATTGGCATGTCTTTATATTTTATTGTTTTCATGTGAGAAGTACAGATAACAGACCCATAACTTAAAAAACATCTCTTGCAGACTCAGCTGGAAAACGTTTGTGTGCCGCTGAGTCAACAGGGCCTGACCTCTGTGTAAAGGCATTAATCACAGTCTCTGTGAGAGCTGATATGTTGAGACTTAGAGGAAATCAATGCAGCGTCAGGAACAGGAAGGAGGAGAAAACAAATGAATCTACAAAATTATCTGCAGTTGATTCGTTCTCCAGGCAGACGTCAGACTTTATTAGATTTTTTTTCGACTTTATTTGCCTTTAGTCACAGCTGATCTCCCAGGAGATCTCTCTTATTTGGCAGCACTAGGTAACCTCTCTAAAGTCATATTTTTTGTCATAATCAATCTCATGTGTATCTTATCTAACTAACAAGGTTTCACTCGGGTTTCAGTCCTTGCTGAGCTTTCAGGCTTTTCTCCCCTGTAGGTTCCACTCACATTCTCACCCCCCCTAAGTACCTAAAGGAACTACAGCACCCAGACTTCCTGGACCCCAATGCCCCACCAGAGGGCACAGAGGAGCCTCCTGCAGAATGAAAAGACTTTTGGAAGTAAATACACAGGTCCTGATGTGTTTTGTAGACCCGTGTTCCCCCATATCAACCCACCTGCCAGTGTGTCTCACCTTTGACCTCTGACCCCTGCAGTATTTCCTGTCAGTGATTTTTACTGATGCCTAAATACTGCCTTATTGTCTGTGAAGTCACTGACTCTGGTCCTCGTGTTTCATATGTACATCTTGAAGGAACACCTCAGAGTTTTGGCACACAGTCTTGTTGGCATTAACATAAAAACACAGAAAATACACAAAGTTATAAGAGAAACATCAAAGGAGGCTGTGAGAGCAGCTCAGTGTGTGTTCTGTGTGTGGACACACAGAACACACACTTTGACTTTAGATGGCTGACATGTTGGATCAACTAGTTTTCAGGCACGCTGAATCCCTGGACCCCAGACCAAAAGAGCACCAATGTATTTTGGCCATGTGTGAAATCCATCAATCTGTATAATACAGGACATGAGAAAGATCCCCAACCCTCCTACATAGAAACAAGACACCCAGTCGTTTTGTATGTGCAGTTGCTTGCGTGTGTTTGGTGTCACTTTGCGTCCCAGATGTGGGGATAAGTCACACATGTTCTCAAGCAAATCCCAAGTTATTGTGGTGACAAACAAGCAAGTCACGTCAAGTCAAGCCAGTTTTATTTTGTATTGCGCCAATTCACAACAGAAGTTATCTCAGCGCACTTTTCAAATAGAGCAGGTCTAGACCTTCTCTTATAGTATTATTTACACCAAGAGCTGGTGACAGTGGCAAGAAAAGAGGCAGAAACCTCAAGCAGAGCTGAACACAGAAAAATGTGAATAGTCATGAACACACAGTCGAGGTCAAGTCGAGTCCTTTGTCAGTGTTAGTCAAGCAGGTCTCAAGTCCTCCACCCTGACCCCTGGGCTACTGGGGTGGTGCCTGTTCAGTAATCGATCAAGAACATGCAAAGAAACCCACCAGTAACATTTTATTGTAAGTAAATATTCTCTTTTAAAATAATAAATAAAGTTATCTATGACACACACTGTAGCAGAGAATATTGATATAATATCTAGAATTTACTTACACAGGTAAATTCAACTTAAACACACAGTCAGTAACTTCTGCCTCTAGGGCTCTCTCAGACCCGGTGATTCTACCCGTTAAAAACACTGAATAAAGCTAACCTTTGTTCTGATTGTTTCTCTGATAACTTATGAAGCAGACGTTCAGCAGGTTTTTACCAGCAGCTGAATCATCCACAGAGGTGTCCTCCTCTCCACAACAAACACACCAGGGGATTAAAACCAGTAGAAACACCCATGAAGCAGTTTGACTTTAAAACTCAGAGATTCAGCGACGCTCTTCAGTGACACAGGACAGGACGTCTCCAGCAGCTGGGAGCTGAGCTGTCTAACATTTCCTCAGCTTGTTTCTCTGATAACTTCAGATCCAGACGTCCGACGACTAAAATCCTTCATCTGGTTCAAATATAGAGCTGAAAACCACCAAGGTGTCAAAAGTGTATGTGGCTTAAAACTAGATAAAAGTCAATGATGAGCTTCTGTCAGACAAACACACTGACACATGATCATAGAGGATATGATGTCACTGATAGGCGACCAATGAAACGTTACCATGATTAAAATCACAGATTTCTCTGGTTTGAGAATTGATGGAAACATTTGTGAAAATGTAAGAACTCAACTCAAGAACACATAGAGCAAAGGTCTACATGTTTTTATAGATTTTAATATGGAAAAGTTTCAGATTATAACTTTAAAAATCCAGGCCTGACTGTGATGCTGCAACATCATTGATCAGAACACCCACAAACCACAAGGGAAGACATGTGAATTCCTAATTTAATAGGAAGTGTAGTGTGAGATGTTAGTTTTTTTTACCCAGTCAGGTTAAGAAGAAGCTTTTTTAAATCCTGAGGTTCTTTTTCCTCAAACCACAGTTCAAGACAGTGATCTATCAATCTATCGATCGATCTATCGATCGATAGATCTGTAGCTTCTGATTTTCACCTTGGTCTCAGTTCCCAGATAAACCTGTGCTGTTGTTTTGTGTTGTGTTGTGTTGTACCTTACCTCCCTTTTATTCCCTCCAGCAGAGCAGTGTTTACAGCAGTGCAGTTCACTTTTCTTGTGTGTGCAGCCACATCCTTGAGAAGACAGAAAATGACACCAACACCTCATGCTAGTTCAGGAAAATCTTCATCAATGTCTCACTGCTAATTTGCTTGTGAAGGGCTGTTTAATCTTTCAGGCTGATACAGAAGGTTTATGTCACTGACCAACCAACCATGTGTGAGAGGATCTTATAAGATAATACAGTTCTGCTGGGATTACTTTTATCCTGGTACATCTGCATTATGGTTCGGGTTAGGGTTAGGGCTTCACTATGGTTAAGATATGGTTGGCAATTATGTATGTACACACATCGGCACTGGATGTAAATCATGATACAGGGCTGATCACCTGACTGCCCAGTCCACCTCTGTGAGACTACCATGTTCCCAGAACTGCTCTCAGCAATAACCTTGGTTTCTACAGTCACATGATTTTATTACAGACAGAAATTCAACTTAAAATTAAGACCTGAACTGTAAAAAAACGCAGGTCCCCTTTAATTAAAAACACATGAATACTTTAGGCTGTTAGATTGATCTTCCTTCAAGTGTATAGATTAGTATCATGGACCTACTTCATTGTAATCATTTCATTGAAAGCTGATCAAACATCCTGTTGTGTCTTCCAGGATCGACTGAAATCTTCACCCCACCTCGCCTTCTCAAAGTCCTCAGAAACTTAGAGAAAGAAGAGCAGACCAGCTAAGAAGCTCCTGTATTGCTCCTCCCTCATCCCTCTACAGCAGCCATGACCCCCCCCCCCAGCATGACACATCAAATATACACTTGATGTTGTATCTACGCCATTCTGTTGCTGTTTCAACCCTGAAACTGTGTTTTAAATTCAGTTTGTTGATATTGATGAAAGTTTATTGGAAGAGACTAAATTTTATGGTGAATGTTAGTCAGTGTTAATTGTGGGATGACTTATGTGTGTGAATCAGTTTAAATGATTGGATGAGATTCAGGGAGAGTGTAGACTTTACTCAGACAATATTCCACTGCTTCCTGGTTATAATGGAGCAAACTCATGGATCTGACACATGCTCACTTCTACTGCAATCCTCCCCCGACCAATACACTGCTTTCTTCTTTTGTTATGTTGCTCCATGCCGGTCTGTAGTGCTTCCCACACTGTAGCAACCGTACAACACTGTACAAATAACCAGAGTCACAGTCATGTGTCTGACCTTGGAAATGCCAACGTACTCTGGCAGTATTTTTAGCTGTAGATGAAGCATTTGAAAGATAAATATACAGTATAGTCGAATAGTCTCTCGTGCATCGTCTCAATACTCTGCAGCGTTTCTGGCATTGTATTTTTGTCCTGTAGAGATTCAGTTTCCTTTTACTACTCCGTGTTTGACCATCATTTTGTCATTGGTTATTGTTGTATAGTGCTTTTCTGTAACTAGTGATCCACTGTGTATGAAGAGAGAGGTCAATATTATCACAAGTCTGTGTTTTTATGTCCACATACACCAAGAATACTTGCCACAGCATGTGTGTGTTAAGCTTCCATTAAACTCTTCATTTAGTTTTTGTTGACGTTGGCTCTCCACCCTGTAAGCTCAGAGAGAAGGCGTATTATTTACATCCATGTAATACAATAAACTGCAGGTAGTACATTGTAGTGGTGGAGTTTTATTATTTGTTTATTTATTTATTTGTTATCGACCCAAAACCATAATTTGAAAACACAATGCAAAAATCCTACACATTGTCCATTACTTGTACTTGACTTTATTAATGAATGATTGAACATCTAAGGACGGGAATGTGGTTTGATCCACAGTGTGCAGGGTCTCTGTCCTTTGTTCTCAAATTTAACACACTTAAACTTTAATGTATAAATTTAAAATTCTAAACTTGCTATAAAGAGCTTCTATCCAAAGGCAAAAAACAAATAAATACAGAAACATGAATAATATGAAATTATCAAAAGGGAAATTATGAAGGGTGGAAGTAACAAAAATGAATTGATAATAACAGAGATTGACAGTGATTAAAATGCATGTGAATTGAAAATGGATGTGTAATGAAAAATTTAAGTTTCATTGATTTAAAGTCGACTCAATTAAAACAGTCGTGATATGATGAAAACAGTCGTGTGTTTCATGTTTCTCATCATTTCATCATTTTCTCTTTCTTACATTCATCACTTAGCATTTCAGGACAGTGGCGTCAAGGATGGACATAACAAAAAACAATAAAAAAAATATGGAAATGATGGGGTGCGTACCATCAGGCTCCGTCCTCACTGCAGCAGCCTGCGTTCGATTCCAACCCTTTGTTGCCCTTTTCCTGCGTGTCATCCCCTGACTCCCCAACTTTCCTGTCTCTCTCTTCTGGGTCCATCCTGCCTTGAGGTTCAGTGTGATTAACCCGGTTACACAATACATTACAAAGATTCAGGTGTAATTCCTACTGAAGTCGCTGGAGGGAGCCTTTTCCAGCTGCTGACGGAAGCGTGGGATGATGAGGCTCTGGAAACATGTGAACTCTGCTGTGGCTATTTTTAGAGTCCCCCCTTTTCCCTCGAAAGCTGCTTTTTTTGAGAAACATGATTTTTCTGGTGAAGGAACAAACCAGTGAAGTGAGAGAAGTGCGTGTATTCTACCTGCAGTGAATACGATTCTGACTGAGGTTCAAGCAGCAACAGCTGAGATATCACATTTCCTTTCAGAATAAAGCTCTCTTTATGCCTTTAGTGTGCAGGCAGAGAAGAGCAGAAGATGTGAGTCACTTCAACACTATGGAAACCTCAGAGCAGGTGAACTCATGTCCACCTCTGCTATGTGGATATACAAGCTTATATAAGCACAACATCTTGTCAAATATAACTAGAGGGAATTCCACACTTTCAGTTTTTCCACCTCCACCCACCCGAACATCTTCAGCTACTGTTTCTAAGAGTAGTGAAGGAATGTTCATTAAGATGGATATCATTTTACATGTGCAATTGTGTGTCTGTAAGGGTCTTAAAAACCGGTGAATCAGTGAACTAACACAATGTAATGCACAGCAGATGAGTGACGAGTAGAGTCATATCATTCCCAGAGGTTCAATCATTCTCCAACACTGAGCCCTGTGTCCTATCATCTCTAATTAAATGGTGTTAATTGGTGATGTAATTACACTACAGTCTTTGTTATTACACTACACTCTTTGTAGTGTAATAACACTAGCAGCAGCAGAGAGAAAAGAAAATGTATTACCTGTGTCAATGATGTCATCAGATGATTTACAAAGCATCAAAACCTTACCTTTTCCAACATGTGTGGTGCTAACACGCCTTGGGTGCAAACATCACCACCTGCTGGAGCTGAAGCTGCTTCACAAGACACAGCCTCAAGATTAGAAACGATTGAGGATTCAGCCTCTTCTCCTCCGTGTTAATATCATGTTTCTCAAACAAGTAGTCAACTACACAAATTACGACTAACCTGAAACACTGTCGGTCTCCGGCGCCGGGGACACTGGGAGTGCAGGAGCTGTTGAAATGCAGCCGTGGCTCAGAGAATGTCAACGCTGCTTGAACACAATGGATGCTGTGGCTGCATCATCAGTCAATATGAACTCAGAGAATATTTCTTGCTGATGGGAGGTTGGTGTCTAAAGCTCCTGCAGGAAAGAAGGACGTGCAAATGTGCACATTTACTGTTTTGTTAAGTTTGCCGTCAACATTTCACCATTGTAATCTGCATATTTGCGTAACCATTTTTGAATCCCCACAGACTCGCATGGTGTCTGATATTTTCTGGGAGTAGGAGCCTGGTTTTATTCATATCTCAGAAAAATGTATCTCGCAGACAGTTTTCTGTTTTATGTGTTGATGAATTTAATGCAAGGTAATAGGCTTCACAATTCACGACTAACCTGCACTGGATGTTTTCCCCTGTAATGCATTGTTTCCCTCCTCCTTACCACCTCATCTAGAAACTGCACTTTTCACTCTGCCTCTAAAATACAATCAGTAATCAGTTATGAACATTATGGTTACTGTGAAGTAAGTAAGACAGATGTTAAGTCAACAACCTGGCTGTAATATATCTGTACTGAACATAGCAACCTGTGCCAACCAGACTGATAAATCACAAAGCAATACACTTAAGAATTGCAATTGATAAATTAATTCATAATAATTAATTCCATTTTTTTTTGCTCTATATATATATATATATATGGTAAATATTCTTATAGACAGCAAGACAAAGGTTATTCAAGCAGCAGGAAACCGTGCCTTTGTTCAGGCCTGTTTTCAGCATGTGTGTGGCATTGAAGGAACATGTCACCCAGGGCAACAGTGTGGCTCAATGATGTGTTTTCATGGAGCTCTATGGCAAAGAGGAATAAGGTCTACCAGGCTTTGGATTCATAGACGAGTCTTGTTAGTGGGACACGTTCATTGTTGGTTTGTGTTACAGAGGGAAAAAAAACTTAAATACTTACCCTTTTAAAATGCATTTTAAAAGTGCAGCAAGAATAACTCATTATCCCTTCAACAGCTGCGGTGGCTGACAAGGGCAGACGCGCTGCAACGGCCCAAAACACTTCAACCAAGAGAAACAAGCTGCAAATTCAGAAACGATGACGATTCAAAAACACGTACAACAATACAAAACAAACACAACAACGTAAATGTGCTGCAAATGAAAAAATGTGCTGCAGGAAGACAAAAGAAAGACATGAACAACAAACACGCTGCAAATATAGAAAACATGCAACAACACATGAACCTCCAAAACTAATGCAACAGAAGAGCTCCAGGCCTCCAGGGCAGCTCTAAGTGGAACACCTTCAGCACTAGTTTTAGGTTCAATCCAAGATGCCAAACCTATGACCTGACCTTTGATCTTTGACCTTGGACCAAACAAGAGTATGAGGAAAGAAATAAGAGGTGACATAAAAAGGTTTTTTGTTCTTTGTAACATTTGGTAATATATCATAAAAGAGCAACAGATAATATAAAGTGTTAGCATTAGCTTATATACAGTCTATGGGTGTTCCACTTAGAGCTCCCCCTGGAGGCCTGGAGCTCTTCTGTTGTGTCATCTCGATATGCAACGTTTTTTCTGTTGCATTAGTTTTCCAAGTTCATGTGTTTCTGTTGTTGCATCCTTTCTGTTTTCGCAGCTTGTTAACGGCCGTTGCAGCACGTTTGCCCTTGTCGTCCACCATGAACTGCTGATAGAGAATTACTGCACCAGTTAGAGAATGTACCACGTCTCAAAGAAATCAAGGTTCTCTGTTTCCCTCTCTCTACCGTCCAGGCTCCTCCCTTGTTGCTACACACCTGAACATTTTTGAAAACTCCATCAACTTCTTGTTACACCAAATATAAAACAGGTGTAGTTTAGTTTGATTAGACTTTTTATTGTGTCGACAGGAAGTCTGTTTGGGGAGTATTTGGACATACTTCACTCTATCTGCCGATAGAAAAAAAAGAACCAATACAAGAATAAGTGATTTGTTCTGAAGGATATTTTTGTGCTGAAACAGCTGTGCTAGGGAAACACACAAGAGACATTAGCAGTTACATCAGCCACAAAGGAGGTTACATAACTGTGTTTAACAAAATGCTCCAGCCTCTCACCACTTACCGTATATACAGCTCTATAAATCTGTGTACAGTCTTATCTGTAGAAGCTATATTGCTAAATTATTTTTGAACAGGTTGCATTCACAAAATGCAAAAAAACAAAAACAAACCATAATCTCATTAACACATCATTAAAACAGCAGAGTATTTCTCACCAACATATAATCCTTGATCCAGACTATTTAGTGTTGCATTACATCTTATCACTAAACTCCTACATTTCTCTAGTACTATCTCAGTGAAGTGGGATTATATCATTAGACTGCAAAAATATAACCATCATCCTACGCCGTGCGTCATGTGACATTTAAGAGGATGTTGATAAATCAGCACCACGCTCTAACAGAATCAAGGACTTTATAATCCTCATGAAGGGAGGGTTTACTGCAGGGCAGTGCGTTTTAAATATGGGGTCTGATATTTCTGATCAGATATCTGACAAATAGAGTCTATTATTATTATTATTATTACTATTATTATTATTATTAATATTAATAATAATAATAATGATATAATAACAGCAGTGAGGTGGAAATCAGATGATTGACTAAATATTAAACTATCAATGAGAAAACAAGCAGATTTTTGCATTTCTGTAGGCATGTAATGATATTTCTCTAGTTGGCTCTGTTGTATTAGTTTGGATTATGGTTATGAAAACAACAGATACTAAAACATGTCTAAGGCTTATGGAACAAGCAAATGCTTTTAAAGAAACACAACAAATAGAAGCCAGACATGTGACTTATATCTTCTACAGCAGAGTTTTGCAGGTGCTGTACTTACCAACATGCTTCTGCTCAGTTAGCTTTTTAGGTTGTCCTGAACCCAGGTTAAAAATTGATTATGAAATAAATTCATGCTGTGGATCATAGAAACAATCTGTTGGACTTTTGTTGAAACAGGGTCCAATAAATCAAAGAATAAATACAGTAAATGCTTTTAAAGGGTCACTCCAGCCAGACTTTTGCTACGTTTGCTCCTTCCATCCACACGACTCCAGAGTCTCTAAAACAGAAACTCTGCTGGACCTCTTTTAAGAAAACTCTGGGGTTGCGTTTTATTTTGGGGTGGTGTTGTAGTCTGGACGGACACAACCGAGACCTTTGGAAACGAAGATGTAGACACCCATGGTCTCTCCTGATTGGCTCTCATCAGCCTGGACCCCCAGTGGTGAATACAACATGATAATTAGTTACAGTGTTACTGACCTTGTTGTCTTTGCTAGCAGCTGTTGTTCACTTAAATTCTGTATGTTAACGATATGACTGTCTTTACTGTTCCTTGTTCAGAGGATTTTGTTTGACTAATCAACTGCAGAGAAGATAATCTGCTTCCTGTTTACCAATGGTGGATTTAGATATGGGCAACATGGGTATCTTTTCAGGTGGTAGCATGGGAGCTTGAAAAAAAAATATATATATATATATATATATATATATATTGCATTTGCGCAATCGATTTTCTATTGCTCATTTCATCATCTCATTACGTCGATGACATCATGTCACCGTGGAGCTCGGAGTAGGTGTACTTTCTAGTTTGTGCAGGGTTCTGCTTGCTGAGAAGGTCTCCTCTCTCACTCTCAGAGGTGGTGCGAGATGGTGAGGGGGTGGCGGGAGCTTGATCACAGGTCTCCTCACTGCTCCCCACTCCCACAGCTACCAAATAAACCACAGTTCATTCATAATACTGTGAATACAGGCCTGTAGTTTCATTTTTCTGGGCTGTGTGAAATCGTTAAGAGTATTGACTAGTCATGTTTGAAGTGTGCAATAATAATAATAATTACAAGGGGTAGTTCGCCCAGTGATACGCATACCCAGTGCACATGTATGGTCATGTGTCTATGTGTTTTCAGGTGTGTCAGTGTGGACGGAGATCGTTTCTGATACGGAGCTAAAACGTTTCGTTACGGCTTTAAAACGCTGTTTTAAAATGAAAACATATTAGTGTTGACGTAGCATTAGTGTCACACTGACATAAGTTTGGCGGATAGATTTTTTTTAAAATGTTGAAATAGCAGCAGCAAAAGAAAAAGCCCCAAAAACACTAGAACTCACATTGATGATGACACATGATGCAACTAGCATTTACTCCGCCTCCTAACTTCACCTCTGATTTTTTGTATTCATAAATTTGTGGTCAAGATTTTTTTAGACTTAAATAAATAGCTTCTTCAGAAAAACAGAAGACATTAAACAGCTGTTTTGAAGGTTTCATCCTCATTAATATCAACATGATTCTTGTGTCCAAAAACAGTTGATTGGACCTTTAACTGGAACTGTATCTGATATTTTGCTCTAGTACTGCAGACACATCTTCACATTCTACACCTATAAAATCTGCATATTCTTGTACTCCAGTTTTCAAGTTTGATTTGTCTGTGTGTTCATTGAGTGCGAACACTGTGTCTTCACCTCTAAAACAGATGCACACAGCGTCACTGCAACCTGGCCTGTTAAATTACAGGTCTGTCAACGTGCGGAGATTTCTGATGAAAAGGCTTTTGTTTTGTATTGCATTGAATTGCATTGAACATTTCCTACTATGTAAACCACTAGTTGTTTTAATACGCAGTTTGAAATGGTGGGATTTACTGCAGGACCTTTGTAGTGGGCTGCTTAAGAGTCGCGAGATGGATCTAATAAACTGGCAAGTTTCATTTTTTATGATGATTTTTTTTCCTGTTTTTTTACCAGAGCTGTGAAGACAACCAGTCACCAGTCAGTGATTTAGTGGTACTGTCTTCTGTTCAACCTGACCTCTTCCTCACAGTGTAATCACAACAATCTGAACAGTGTTTCCTGTACACTGCATTTACAGCTCCCTGATTCATTACTGTGTCCTCGTTAGCATCCCACAGAGAGCATGATAATGATCGTACAGGACCTCCATCATCTCTGCTGTGCGTTTGGATGGGGTTTCATACAGACAACCCTGTCTACTAGAAAAGATATATTTTTAATTGAATAATGAATGAATGAAGCGCTACATTTATTAAGAGCAGTGGAGTCATAGAGAGGTGGTGGGGATGTGTTAACTTCCATAGTCCTCTGTACTACAGAAGCACTTTGTTAGGGGACAGATGGTGGTTTTGGTTAAATCTAAATAAACATGTTGTTTGTGAAATCATTGTGAACTTTTTCTGTATTAGACCAAGATCTGTTTCCCTAACCTTCACCCAGTGCTGCGAGAGTCGTAACAGAAGGATAAACAGTTTCATAATGCTGGAAACAGTTAACATTTTACTTCAACGTAAATCAACAACATATCCTCATTAAGTCAGTCATGATTACTTATTCTACTGAATGTTGCTGTTGCAGTGTTTTTGAATATAAAAGTCATTTCTATGAGACACGGCTGATACACCAACATTCTACAAAGAGAATAACATTCTCTTATGGAGAATATTAAAATGCCCTTCTACTGTTAAACTGTTTAATATTATGCTACAGGCCCCGTGTGCTTAACCCTGTTTCCTGTTGACCCGTATGCAAAGTGGGCTGCGTGGGTCTGGCTTCGTGACTGGCCGCTGTTACTGGAGGGGGTGTGTCCGCCATCGTGTTGCTGATTGGAGCGGCTGACGTCCCCACCACCGCTGAAGCAGCTGAAACCACTGGCGAGACAAGATTCAAAAGGCCTGGCCAGCCAGTTGCTTGGGGGCAGCTGGGTTAGGCGGCTCGCCCCGAGTACCTCGTGGAAATTTTGTAAGTGTTCTGAGAATCAAGGTTCTCGTTTGTTTCTAGATTGTAGTTTTACCCCAAACTGATTGCACCCACACTTAGCTTAAGAATTGTTGATGACACTAGGAACTTGTGTCTTGTGTTTTTGTTTGTAAGAGAGTCCAGAAAGGTTCTTTGTTTCCCATTTTATTTTTTGCTCACAGTAAAATTGCCAACTCATGTTGGTTTGAGTCCTCTTTTTGTTCTATTTTGTTTTTGATTTAAGCAGCATCCACTTGCCCTGTTTCCCTCTTTTAGTTATTCCCACATTTTGTTTACCTTTGTTACCCTCCTTACTACTTAATATATTTTACTCAACCAATTCCAGCAGGTTGCGTTGGGCTTCCCCTATTATGAGCTGGGTTGCAACAAATGATAAAACGTTGTAGTCATAGGAATCTATACCAACAAACTATCACTTGTATCAGAGGGACTGAAGGGCAAATGACAATGCTGCTAAAATACTGATCAAATGCTAAAGAATGTACATGTACATATTGAGTATGATGTGTTTATGGGAAACTAACATTATGAAATACAATAGGCCCACTTTTATCCAGGGTCTTCAGTCTCTGTCTCCTAGAGATGATGTTTATATACAACTAATTTACAGCAAGAAATATGTTTTGTAGTAAATGTAGCTGTGACCAAATTATGTTTCTCATTAAGGGTAATGAGGATATGTTGTATGTTGTTCATTTACGGATCTGGCAAGTTGTAATGTGGCTAAACTTGTTTTCAACCTAGATGATCGTGTTTGGCTCCGTCTCACTTTGCATTCGATTATCACAATATTTTACTGGGGACCAGAGAGTTATTTTTGCTGATCAAATGAAAACTACAATGATCTGATCTGATCTGATCTGATTTGATTTGATTTTTTTTTATTTGATTTGATTTGATTTACTGTGATGAACTCAAATGATCCTCCTACCTGCCCCCAGGGCGGGTCTGCCTCCACAGATATTGTATGAAACATTTTTATGTTTCATACAAAGCACAACTAAAGACTGAGAGTGCAAAGAATGTAACATTAGATTAAAATGAGGGCCATGATATGTATGTGAATATATATATATATATATATATATATATATATATATATATATATATACATATTATGATTGAGTTCATATAGTTCCCTCAAAGCAGTAAAACAGTGTCTTCTTAGCTGCATAAAGTCCAAAATTATATCATATCAGAGTCCCGGCTCAACCACCAGAAAGTCAATGTAATCCTTCTCTTTGGACTTGAAGGCCTCTGCGATGATCCGGGCGGCTTCCTTATGCTCCCGACCTCTCAGGGAGACGCCGTTGACCTCCAGGATGACCAGACCCACCTTCAGCTGCTCGCAGTTATGAGCTGAGCCTCCTTTCTGGAAGGAGGGAAAGCAGACAGTATTTAGACAGAGAAAGCATGTGTTTGCTGTTACTTACAGCACAAGGTTACAAGCTTACACCTGAAGTCATAAAAGAGATTACTGTTATACTATTTTGAAATTTATTGTTTTATACTTTTCAAGATTTCACCATAGACAATAAATTCTCTTTTAGTCTCCAGTTGTTCCGGTGCATTTGTTTGATTTACAGCTGACAACAACAAAAACCACAGCATCTAGCATTTAGCATCTAAACTGACAGATGTCAACATCAACAGCTCAGTTTTGAAGCTTCATGTGGTGCAGCTGACTGACAGGGTGAAGCCAGCAAGCTTAGAGAGCTACTGTATTGTGATGGACTGGCACTTGCATGTTCCCATCTGGCCAATCTGTTAGTGGTTGTAGACTGCCAGCTTGTCTGAGTTCATCATCCCACCGTGTGAGAAGTATCCAGTCTTCTAGCGCCACATATTTTGTACTTTTGTACTGTACCACTTCCTTGGCTTCATGCAAATAAGTTTAAAATGAAGAAATTTGGTTATTGATTATATGCAAAAGAATCTCCATGTAAGTCACTAACTGTGTCCCAATTCAGGGGCCACAGCGACTAGACTGTCCCATTTCAAAGGCTCCTTCAGATGCAGCTGAGAAATGCGTCCTTCTTTTCTTGGGCAACGAAGGCTCCAGCAGGGGGACCCTCCTTGGCCCAACCTATCCCAAGATTCATTGTGCACTGATCATGAAAGCAGACAAGACTGACAGAGAGCCTGAGGATTACACTTTTGAATGTAAGTATTGGGTTTCAGCTCAGTTGAACAGCTAACAGTACAACTGTTAAAACCAAGGCCCTTAAAACCTACGACGGCTATGAAGGGCCACACCTATATAGACCATGCACTCCGAAGGATGTGGCCCCTGAACTGGGACACAGTTACTGTTTGAGCCACTGTAACTAAGAACTAATCTGTTAACGATTTCTACTCCGTCAATCCAGCTGCTTTTAAAAAAGACAACAACAAAAAAGATATAAAGCAGTTTAGATTAAATCACACACTTTTCAGTCTCTTTAACACCAAAGAGTGTGTGCAGCCGTTTAGAACAGAGAATAATTACATTCCCCCGATATGACAGGAACATAATTGGCTAAATGTGCATGGATTTGTGCAACGTCAAACTGATTATAGGGCACGTTGTGTCTGATGGTCACTGTTGAATCGGCTCACTGGTACTGACTCTCAGCGTCTTCACAGACATGGGTGACAGGGATGGCCGAAACGGAAATCACTGCACAGTCAAGGGTGCCCTGTTCATACACAAGTCTGGGTGGGGCTGGGTTCTGCTCAGGGGACCGAGGCTGCAGCTCATTCAGTTCTTAAGTGATGTTAGCGCCTCTCATCCTCAGACTTATGGAAATGTACCGTTTTGCTTTTTTTTTTGTATTTGAAAATGTGAAAGGGGTTACAAGAAGACTGATAAGCTAATGATCAGATGTTGAAGGAAAACAGAAATTTCATCTGCAAAATTTTCCACTCCAGCCTTATACAGCACTTTGAAAGAAAAGACACTGAATCTTCGCACAAAACAATGGCTTCAAACCAAATCTCAGCCAAATACAACTGTAATACTGTCTCACCTGAATGGTGACTATGCGTGGCATAGGTTGGCGTGTATTGGCTCCACCCTCAATAGCAATGCCAAGGGTGTTGGCATTTTTCACCACTCGTACCAGGGTAGCAGTGGGCTCCGTCAACGGTGAGCCAGTCTGCTGGGAGAGGTCAGAGATATTGAGAGCAAGGTTGAACGTTAGATCATCATCAATAATTTGTTTTTAGATCTAGACCAGAAATCGAAATCCTCACCTTTTATCAACAGATTCAACTGAGTGCAGCACCATAAATGCACCATGACTGTTTGAGGATAAACTGTCAAAGTGTTGTACCGTTTTAAATCAGGTTTCTGCTTAACTACACATTGAATACTCAGCCAGTAATGCACTGATATAATAATAATAATCATCAGCTGCATGCGGCTACTTGAAATATTACTTTTTAACAAAGGTGCAATAAATGAACTGAATCTTGACGTCAGTGTGTTGAGATGGTGTGAAGCAAAGTTTGCCATTGTTCATTTTCCGTGCAAGTACTGTAGTAGTAATATAGTAGTATAGCATTTTTTTAGTCAGAGTTCAGGATGGAGAACAGACACAAAAAGATTCAGGCAAACATTCTAATGCTAGGGAATAAGGTCAAAACACAGGTGGCATACTACTTTCTTTCCTGTGGCAAAAAGCCACAGGAAAGAAAGTGGTATGCTATAATCTCCCTTACAAAAAGCTCATGTGACATTCTACATCTCACATGTGAACTGAAGCATTTCACATGAGATGTTTGAGTTCACATGTAATGTAGTGGTACACATGTGAATTTAATTTCACATTTGTTTTTCAAATGTATATATTAAAATTCCCATTATAAACTTTACATGCAAATACAAACTTTGCATGTGGAAGTGATAGTGAAATGTGAAGTGCAACATTTCACATGTGGTTTGCTTTATATGTGAATGCTAATTGTGAAAAAGATAATGTCACGTGTGAAACGAAAAGTCCCATGTTATGTTGTGATTCCACATGTTAATCTAAGTTTCATGTTAAGTACAGGTTTCACATGAGTTTCACATGTAATCCCATAGGTTTCACATGGGAATTTACAAAAGCCTTCACACATTACACCACAAAAATGTTCCAAAACCACATGTGCCAGCACGTGTTCCACACATTTCACATGTGATTTTAATATGTCTTCACATGTTAAATTTCACATGTGCAAAATAATCATATGTACAAGTGATTACATGTGAAATTTATGTGGTTTTTCTGTAAGCAAGTAAATGGTATTCAACCCTGCCCTGGGGGGTGATGGGGTCCCGGCCTCCAGGTTGAGAACCACTGGTCTAAATGGTTTATCAGGGAAAAAGAAGCATGTGTGCAGGTGGGTTTGGTGACTGGGAGAGGCAGAAATACTGTGAGGGCAGGTGGGAAATGTCTGGGTGGGTTAAATTCTTTGAATACAGCGAAGCGTCATTAAAGCTGCAGAGTCTAAGGACAGACGTCCTGAAGCTCATCAACACTTTGGCAGTTATTGTCACCTAACTGTCGCTCTATTCAGAACTTCATCTCTGTAACTGCCATACGTTCAATCCTCTCACCGTTATGAGACAGCACACAATGTGGCGCCGTGTAATTAATCACACTGATCTATCTGCAGTTAATAGGTTACGATGTAAGTTGTCTTTGCTTAACTTAATTCCATAAAGTGAAAGCAGTAAAACAAGTTCTAGAGAAAAAACCCAGTTATAAACTGATCAATAATCACCCAAATATTACCCATCAATCAATTTGTGATCTCAGCACCGTGGGACAGGATGCAACATGAAGAATCGTGATATGTTGAAGTGGTTATGGCAGTGTAAGGCCCTCACTTGTCTGGTGGCCCCTGAAGTAAGTGCGTGGGCCCCTGGCTGTTCAAGATGGCGCCTCTGGTTCTTGCTGGGTCGAGGGCTGCCGTCCTTACTGAGGCCTCCTGCCTCGGCTATATCCACCCCGCTGTCCTCACTCAGGGTCTGGCCACTGTCTGACAGCTGGGACAGTGTGGCCCCTGGATGAGACACTGTCATGTTAGTATACAAACAGCGACAGGGGTCAAGGGTGTGAGTCAGGTTTATATCAGGCTTCATATCTAATATTTATATTTCAATACACCTGTGTTACATTATAGTATGATACTACTTTACTTTTTCTGATCTGCTTTCAATGATGTTGATGATATTCACCATTCATGCAAACCTGTTGCCTTGACTTCAGTATTATGCACATTTCCAAAATACATTCTAATTTACTAGTTTTACAGTAGTCGATATTGTACAAATACAGACACACAGTTTTTTTAACATTAAGTTTGAACAGCACTGTGAACATGTGTATTTTGTAGTATGTTGCATAATACATCACTAACAAATTAGTTTTTCCCAGTAACTGTATCTTGTACGTTAATATACACACACACACACACAAACACACACACACACACACACACACACAGCCATGTTCTGTACCTCTTTGTTGTGGTCTGGAGTCTGCAGACAGCCAGTTCATGTCCGTTAGCATAACTTTTTGAGTGAGGGCAGGTGAGCAGAGGCGGTCAGGACTACAGGGTGGAGCAGCAGGTGTGATGAGAGAGGGGCAGGGGGAGGGACATGGCGAGGGATGGGGTGATGGATGAGGGGATACCATGGGAGATGCTGCTTTGGAAGAGGACGCAGACTTTGACAAGATGAAGGATTTCTCGTAGGAGCTGGATCTGGAGGAGAGCTTGACGGATCCCTGTGGTTTTGCAGAGCTGGAGGATTCCCGGTGGTGCAGGAAGCCCGGGCAGGTGTGATGTCCTGAACTAGATCTAATGTGGTTGCCGGGATGGTGGTGGAAGTGATGAGCAAAGTGGGGGTGGTTGAGGTGTTCAGCATCGCAGGGCTGGAAGAAAGTGTGATGGAGTGTATTGAGAGAAGTGTGGTGGGTGGCGGAGGCAGGGGAGGGCTGGTGGGTGGTGGGTAGGGATTTTAGCGACTTTTGGAGGCAGTCCTGGAGCAGCTGGGTGGGGCCAGCGAAGAGTAGGCTGGAGCCGGGCTGCACCAGCCGGGCTGGAGACTTCCTGCCCAGCTCCTTCTCCCTGGACAGCCTGCTCTGGGCCTGGAATGGAGCACTCCTCCACAGAAACTCACCAGAGGCCTGTATTTCATCCTGTCAGCAAAAAGACGGCAACAGAACGTGTCCCGCATGAACAGAGCAGCTCCTCTCTCTGAGCCATACACGTAACAAGATGAAAGAAAGATTCAGAATTATAATCCTTAAGATTTCAGTGCTGGATGATTTGGTCATGACTGTGAACTGACTATTCAGTTTTCTGAGAATGTGATGAGATGATCAATATTCATCAAAAATGCAGCTCAGTGTAAAATCCACACTTCTAAACCTGTCAACATAATGGTGACTAGTTTGATTTAAGAGGATGTGCTAGAAGTGTTTTTACTTTTATAACCAGCAGTTTATCTCTTTGTGCACAGGACTAAACAACCAGACTGAGAAAATATTAATTGCTAATTGAAGCCCTGCATCGACGTCCTGACTGCAGCCCTGTACTAACACACAGATGTGAGACTGACGTTCATCTACAGTACATCCAAAAATGTCGAGCTGTCTCTTTAATGAATAAGACTACTAATATTAATGGTGATATCAAATGCTGAACACCGCATGTCCACTTTAGCATTAAGAGAAATGTGCACATGCAATGGTTTACCACCTCAACATGACATGTAATGCAGACATCGCTTCCTGTCGATTGCTTGTGTAAAGCCAAGCTGTTTTCTGTCAAGCTGTTACTGAGATATTATACAAGAATGGGACGAACAGACGTATATACGTATGGACATTAGGACAGACTACCTGAAAACAATAACGCCTCTGGCTCTGGCTGTTGACCTTTTATATTAGGACTGTAAATATAAAGGGTTAAAAGCTTTTTTGTATATTGTTTGGAATTTTAAAACTGGTTGATGTTGGTCATTTTGGTTCATTTCTCCACAGACCAACACTCACTTTTGATGACTTGAAACAAATTTTCTACATCTACAATCCAGATTTCTGGAAAGTGATTTGGATATCTAAGGTCGCTGCCTGACTTTTCTTATAGTAACACCAACACTCAACATTTCTGCCTCAACATTCAACATCTAAGTTTGCAATAAAAAATGAACTGAGCACAGTCCTGCACCATAGATGAACTCTGGCTAAAAAAATATAAATATAAATGAGATATCCAGTCAATTCATGGTCAGTTTTCCATGAACTGTGCTGCTCCAAAGGGGATAAACTCTGTGCAGCAGCTCTGTTGTGTATAGCCTTTCTTATTCTCACCCTCAGTGCAGAGTTAATCCTCCACTTCTTCCTGTAGGATGTGATGACTATTAAAGCTTCAGTGAAACTCCTAATAAGGATTTTAACTCTAGTAATCTAATCTGTCCTCTGAAAAAACTATGATCTGTTAAACATCGCATCACAAACAGTGTGGTTTTGCATGCATCATTTTTTTGGCAGATTAAATAAAAACTGACACATACCAGTGTGATGTTCTGTAAGCTTTTAGTGTTTTCCTCCTGCTCTTTTTGTGTCCAGTCACCAACAGAGTCATCAGTCTGAAAGAAAGCGAATGAGTATGAAGCACTGTAGCACTGCAGGGCTGAGTCTGGAATAACAACGTTAGCCTACTTAATGCAGATGCTACATGGACAGGATCTGCCCCACAGGACAGTGTGTGAGTCCAACAGGGTTTAGTCAGTGAGAACAAAGTGTTCGAAAAAAGTTTCTCTGTAGCAGCTGAATCAGCTGAGGCTGTTTAAGGCTGGAGGCTCTGTCGTTTCATCACTGCAGAGCATTGTGGGATTTGTCTCTGATGTAGACTACTCCTGACCTGCTTATCATCATAAATCCAGGTTGATGTGCAACAGCTCCCATACACTGAAATTTATATAGAAATCAACTTAAGTTTGTCTTCATGAATTCCCTAGCAGCTGGGCTGGTTGCACATCATGGTTTACCCTGTAAACACACAAACACCAAGGCGGCGTTTTAACCGCTGTGAACATGCACTGTGCAGGCTGCTGGAGGAGCTCAGAAAAACACATCTAACCATCGTAGTGTGGAGATAATTTGAATGTAGCAGCTGTCTACACAGATGCATTGGCTCACAATTCACTCTGTACAAACAAAACCACAAACCGAACCACATATTTACGCCTCAAGATTATTTTCTTTCAGTCACATAACTACAGTGATTGTGTGTTGGGCTCTTAACGCCTCCTGTGTAGACAGAGACAGGAGACAGACACAGGCTGTGTAGACGTGTAAATCTTTTGTCATAATAACAATAGATCTTCAGTAAAGAAAACAAGGCTTATGAGATTATCATCACAACCACAATATGAGTGTGTCATCAGGGCAGTTTCACAGACATCGTCACCAAAATGAATTTAATAGCATCATCAAATAACTAAGCATTCATAACCTGGGGACGGTTGCAAAGCGTTTTTGCATTTCTCTCAGTTACTCAGAGACTATTTCTTCTAGACCAACCACACCTTTATATATTAAACTTACACCTGACTGATAATGACCCATATCATTTAAAGATGATTACATATGATTCATAATATTTATCTAAATAGAAGAATTCAGATGTTGCAACTGACCTCAACCCTGGGGACAGATGCGACACAGGTCACGGTTGCAACATATTATGAATACATTAAATTTCACTAAATAACTTTTGTTTAACTGAGAATGTGCAGTATGAGTGTCATCACTCTTGCATGTTTCTGATTGGAGGAATAAGACTTGTTGCAACCATCCCCAGTCTCCCCCTACAAGCACTGTAAAGTACTGACTGACTAACCCGCCAACTAGGTGTCCCTGTCTCCTGACTCCTCTGGCACTTACCACACACAATTACCCGCCTGATATAAAACATGCACCTTAACTTTACTGTCAGTTAAGCAGTTTGGCAGCAACTGATATTAGATGTGAACTATTATTAGACCACATTTATCTTCCAAAAGTCATTATGTCTTGTGTTTATAACATCAGAGGTACACCACCTGTAAATTACCAGACAGCTTGATGAGCCACAGCTCTGAAAGTGTCAAACCTAAATCTCACTCCCAATGTAAAGTCAGCTACAAAAGATCTGGGTGTTGTCCTGGACCGTTACCTCAGTTTAGAACAACATGTAAAGACTGTAGTCCAGTCATGTTTTTATCAACTGAGGAATATTTCCAAAATTACATCAGTCCTGTCTTTTAGCAACCTGGAGAAAATTATACACACTCTTATATTACTGTTATGCTTTATTTACCTGCCTGAACAATGGAGCTACTGGACAGCTCTAAATTGTTCAAAACTCAGCAGCTAAAGTATTAACCAAAACTAAGTGATCCTCACACACCACACCAGTCTTGGCTTCACTGCACTGGCTTCCCATCTCCTTTAAAATCAGTTTTAAAGTGCTTTTAATTACATACAAGGATCTGAATAATCTGGCACCGGAGTATATAACTGAGCTTCTTACACCCTACTGTGTGAACAGACCCCTCAGGTCTGCTAGTCTGGGCCTCCTCACTACTCCAGAGTCATTTTCTTTCTTTGGGAGTTTTTATCATTTAGTTTCTTTCATTGAGTGTGAGCGTGAAAGTATGTGTGTATGTGTTTGTGTATGTGTACATGTACGTATGTTTGTATGCATATGCACTTATTTTTCATTAGTTATCTTTTGAAATAGTTTTTAATGTTTTGAATTTTCTTCCCCTTTGGAAAACACTTTGTGCTTTTGCTTGAAAAGTGCTCTATAAATAAGATAATAATAATAATTATTATTATTATTATTATTATTATTATTATTATTATTATTATTATTATTATTATTATTATTATTATTATTATTATTATTATTATTATTATTATTATTATTATTATTATTATTATTATTATTATTATCATATTATAAAGAGTTCAATGTTATACATAACAAGTCAACAGTATTGATAAAACATGTGGAGTAGAAACCTTTACACATGCTTGGATTAATGTAGAGTGATGGATTTCACAAGTGTTAAGAAATGAATAAGCACCACTTTGTGGCAGCCTGCTGGTATTCTCTGCATTACTGCATCATATCACATAAATCATTTCATTTTTCTGTCAGACGATTTGGGAAGCAGCCGTGTAACTAGAGGCTGCAACAAGGTGGTCAGTAGTGCAAAATAACCTCAACAATGTTTTTTAAAAATCGGTGCTTATCTCTATTGTGCTCTACTAAGCCTTATCTTTGTATTGATGTCACATGTTCAGGTGTAGTAGATAAGGGATCTACCGTCACAGGGACAGTCTGTCCTGCATCGTGGACCACAGGGGCTGTGTGGTTGCAGTGGCCCTGTAGGTGCGGCACTCCCAGGCCTCCTTGCCAGGGCTGGTGGGCTTCCATCTCACGGTGCAACACCAGCCTGTCGTACAGCTCCAGATCCTGGGGAGCCACCAGGCTCCTCACCTCTGACAACATGGACAGCTGCGGGGAAGGACAGGAGAAAAAAACTGATATTTATATTTATATTTATTCTATATTTTTTTATTGTTGATCATCAGTTGTTGCATTGATGATCAGGGCCTGTATTCACAAAGCATCTTAAGGCTAAAAGTAGCTCCTAACTTGCAGATTTAGGAGAAACTCCTAAAAATAATGGCAGTGTCAGCCCTAACTTTAGGAGTTAGAAGTAGTGGAGAGGACTCCTAACCCACTACGACCAAATCACAAAGAATCATAAAGGGCTGCTGTCATTCCACATCACAGTGTTCTGGAAACCTTACACGATGCTGAATTACTTAAACGATACAACTCAATCACGAGGGAATAATGATCGTTGTGGAATTTGTAAGGGACGCAACATCTCCTAACAACCGATGGTATATGGTATTTGGTACCACTGTGTTACTTGGCAACAGAGAAAATGCGACTTGGTAATGCTGACAACTTGGAGATCTCTCAGCCGTCTGTAAGGCGATCTATCCAGCAAACAATAAATGCACTCTGACCTGAAATCACAGGAAAATTCATACGATTTCTTTTAGATGTTTAACAGAAAAATTAAGCAGCTTCATGGCACTTGTGGGTCTACCTGGTGTGATCGGTGCCATAGGTTTGTGAATCTACAGTTGTAGAGATTGTTGCAAAGTGGCCAGTATCTAGGCAACGCGATTCATGGATCTTAATAGAGAGTGACCTGAGGCCACTGTTTGAAAGGATCATGTTCCAGCTGGATGTCACTGGTGGGGGACAGGGGAAATCTTCTCACACCTCAACCCACAGCCAGGACCACAGCTACATTACAACGTTACAACATTTAGTTAAAAACTTTTAGCATGACTTAGGAGTAATGTTCGTGGTAAGATAAAATGCTTTGTGAATACGGCCCAGATGTTTTCTTCTTTGAGTCTGAGAGGTCAACACACTGCGACTCAGGAAAACACAACCAAATACAGGAATGAGCAGCCAAAACAGCCATAGTCAGTGGTGGTGTTGGAAAATCAGCAAAATATAAGTTTGTTTGGTCCACGTAGCATTTATCAGTTCAATTTTCAGAATTAAATCAAAATACATAGTTGGAAAATTGAAGTCAACTGAATCAACTTTGAATATGTCAAATATATTATTAAGATTTTGGACTTTCTCATCATTCTATCTATAGAATGGTGGATAGAAAATTGGAAAAATAGATGAATAGAGTAGTATTGATGTTTCTGGTTGCTTGAGAGGCAGTGGTGTTTTCCCCCGGAGGCCAAGTGAAGCCAGGCTTCCCCTTTTACAGACTGTGGTTGTCATTTTAATAAAAACAGTCAGACTGTGTAAATACTCTGTGCTGTAGCTGCCATCCCTCCTCTTCCCTGTTACCTCATTGAGGTAACCAGCGCCCCTCTAACTGATGTGTGAATGTGTGGTGAAGCTACGCTGGCTGTGAGCTATAAGCTTCTTTAGACTAATGTCACGTCTCTGAGGAGGCCAGGTCAGAGTTGGCAACCCCTGATGAAAAAAAAAAAAGAATGATTAACCAATCAGATGAAGCTACCATCATGCCACTGCCAAACTGTGATCAGTCGGACTACACCAAGGGAAACCAGCCGCCCTCTGGCCTCACACCTATGCCACCAAATCATAGCAAGTTTATAATGTCACTGACATTGAAATTACAGGAGTTAAATTACGTGTGCTAGTCCTGCTAGTCTTGGCTTCCTCAATCATGTTCCCCACTTAACACCACAGTTGAGATTTCCTATGTCTATGACCACCCTCCCTTTTTGACCCCACTGAGATCAGCTGTAGAGTCGCTGCTGCACCTTTGCATGTGTGTTGAAGAGCTCAAACAGAGCCATGGTCAATGACTCCACTCCTATGTGTCTGTCCTGGTACTCCTGCAAGTAGTAGCCCATGGTCTTCCTCTCTGGCTCCGTCAGCAGCATGTAGGCCTGCTGCTCCAGAGACAGCTGCACACCTGGCGGGCCCACACCTCTGTACACTGTGGGCTGGATGGACAGATAACGTGACACATGAGGAAAGATGAAAAAAACATGACGGGAGAAAAAGACAAGGGTCAGTAGTATGCAGATAGAAAGTCTTAGATGTGTGCAGCTTCCATCCCCCCTCTCATCCTCCACACACACAGGGCCGTGGCTGATCTGATCACACTCAGGAAAAAGTCATCACTTTAACCTGTTTTCCATCAGTGGTTCATAATCTTCAACAGCAGCTTGACTTGAAAACAGCTCTTCTCACTGTTGGTAGATTGAGTTTCAGTGAGATCCTTTGACCAACTGTGAAAAGCTTTGTTTGGGGAAAAGACTTTTCTCTGCCATAGTTTTTGCCATGAAAAATCCAAGAAAAATTAAACAATTCATAGATGGAAGAAATTCTATATTTAATAGCTTCTGCTTGACATGCTTCAATATCAGTATCAATATCAATATTCAGTATGTTGACTGTCCCACAAGGGAAAATAAGACACTGGATCTGTTGTATGCAAACATCAAGGAGGCCTACACTGCTTTAGCTCTACCACCACTTGGCAGATCGGATCTGAATTGGTTTTTCTTCAACCTTCCTACAAGCCCTGTGTACTGAGGCGGGCTGCAACCACCCGCTCATTCAGGAACTGGACCCCGGAGGCCAGTGAGTCTCTAAAGGACTGTTTTGAGTGCACAGATTGGAATGGCCTGTTGGAGTCACAGGAAAAGGATAACAGCAAGGACCCTGACCTTGGATGGTTGAATGCACCATGGACTACATTAACTTCTGTATGGACACTGTAACACCAGCAAGGACTGTACACTGCTTTCCAAAAACAACAAGCCCTGGATCACAAGTAACCTCAAGAGCCTCCTCAACCAGAAAGTGGAGGCCTTCAGGGATGGAGACAGGGAGAAGCTCAGGTGTGTGCAACATGAGCTGAAGAGATGAAATCAGGTGAAGGAGGACAGCTCAGCTCCCAGCTGCTGGAGACGTCCTGTCCTGTGTCACTGAAGAGTGTCGGTGAATCTCTGAGTTTTAAAGTCAAACTGCTTCATGGGTGTTTCTACTGGTTTTAATCCCCTGGTGTGTTTGTTATGGAGAGGAGGACACCTCTGTGGATGATTCAGCTGCTGGTAAAAACCTGCTGAACGTCTGCTTCATAAGTTATCAGAGAAACAATCAGAACAAAGGTTAGCATCAATCTCAGCTCCAGCTCTTCCCTGAGTCTCTGTCCTCCGTACAGCGTCGCTCAAACACTGACTTTAAATGTCAAACTGCTTCATTCAGTGTTTTTAACAGTTAGAATCACTGGGTCTGTTTGATTTCCTGAACCACTCACACTGAAGGAATCCAACCCTGGAGGAGCTTACTGTAATGGTGGTGAAGACAACACCCTCTGTGGTCCCTATTACACTTACACTTACTATTACACTATCACTATTTCATGACGTCACCCAACACAGTCTTTTGTTATTGTTTTGATTGAGACCCCTAGAGGCAGAAGGTACTGACTGTGAGTTTAATGTCCAAATGTGATAATCTGAGGTATCATCTGTTGGGACAGGATTGAATAGTATTAGAATTAAGATTAAATTCAAGTTACAGATGTTATTTGACTTTGTTGACTCAAGCTCAAAGTTGTAAGATTAACCTGCCTCTAGTTCCACCTGTGCTCAGGAAAAAGATATGACATGCAGAGATGGATCTACAGCATGTTGGAGTGTAGGATCTGTCTGAAAGGTCAATGATTAGTGTTAATATGTATTCAGAGGGCAGTGATGCATGGCTGCCATTCTTACCTTTCCTAATTCAAGTGTAGCTCTGGCTGAGGATGGTCTGCAACAAAGAAGAAAACAACGCAGAGTATATTTAAGAAACAAACAATCCTCACTTAGTTTATAATCATCCTACAAAACACTTTGTTGAGAGCAACACATCAAAGTAAAAGCATCAACATGAATGTATTGTCTCACCGATTCTTATGCATCCAGAATATTACAAAACACAACATTACTGCCCAGCCTGCGGCAGGCCCAGGCAACATGAATTTAATGAAGTGTGGAGCTGAGAGCCAACTTGAATGATTTATTAGGCAGCAGCAGGCAGAGGAATTTATACTTTCGCTAACTCCCAATCAGGGCCAGCTCCATTAGGGACTGGCGACAGATGGATGAGGGAGAGAGAGTGGAGTCTCCACGCACTGCTCTGCTGTCTGACACAATGGAGACGTCAAACACAATCCTCCACGACAGGGAGAGTTTTTTTGTCCTCAAACAGACACACTCCCAGTAATGGAGGTTCCATTAGATAAGATTATGTTCACAGAATGACAATGTTTCTGTTTAAGGGATTGATAGTCACTGACTATGTAGTTCGTTCTATTTAAAATAAGACTAGGTCTAAACCTAGTCTATGTCTGGACCGCCTCTGGTCAAATCATGATTTTATAACTGTGACATCGTCTGACAAAATTACCAGACACATAATGAAAGACAAAGACTGAGCTGTGATTTCAGCTGGATTTACTGTAACATGATCACTCAGAGATTAAGTTAGAAGAGACAGACTGTAGTAAAGATTCCTATTTTATTTTATTTTGACACTACTTTTCTCCTTTACCTCACTTTCTTTCTTCTCCTTTCCTCAGCACTGATTGACTCTTTTCACCCTGTTCCTATTTTATTTTGACACTACTTCTCACCTGTTCACTCCTTATTTAAACCCTGCACACCCTTTCACTCACTGTTTTCCTGATCATCACATGGGGAGACGGTGCTGGTAAGCAGATTTTCTTTCTCTCTTTAGTTTTATCCTATGTGCATGAGTATTTGAACTGAGTATTATTAATCCTTATTCCCTCAAGATGGACATTTGATTAGTTTTGACTTGACTTCTAATTTTTTTTTCTTTTAATTTGTTTCTTTCAGATTAACAACCCATGTGTGTTTGCCCCTCCTTAATGTTTAAGTGCAACTTCATTGTGTTGGAAAAGCAAAGTTTCAAGGCTGATGCATCCTGACCGATGCCCATGTCTGTACACCTCTCCTTCTGAACCTCCTCCTTAACACACACTTTCTTATTTAGTCTCTCTCACAGAGCACAGCCTCCGTCTGGATCCACAATAGTTTAGTCTTTATTTAATTCAACTCCAAGAGACTTTTATTAGAGGCAGATCTTACTGCATTACGTGTTAATACAAACTCAACACTTCCTTGAATTTCAAATTAAAAGCCCTCTAGTGTTTCAGTAGATAACCCTTAATCTTCTTAGGGCTTTTCTTGCTGTGCTGCAGTAAGTGTACTGTCTCATTTCTGGTTGCTGGTGTTTCTGTTGTTTACATGCTATTCAGATCTGCTATTTTCTTTAGCAGTTAGCAAGGACTTCGCTCTCCCTCCCTCTCTCTGCTCACTGTGTATTGTGTTGATACAATGATGAATGATACATGGAATCAAAGTAGTGTATTTGCTGTAATGGAGGCAAGGCTCAGTGTATTGGAAGCACTCCTCCTCTTCCCTGCAGTTCCCGAGGAGCAGGGAAACAGTGGCTCAGCACTCCACTGACCAGTGGTGGAAATGTAGCCAGCCAGTCATTCAGTCAGGGACATTGCAGATTATAGGCCTGTCCTCACTGTTGCTGTCCAGCCAAAAACTTAACACTGCACCAGAGTTATGATGAGTTTATACTTGATTCTGTAGATTTGGATTATAGCTGTGAGTGGGATATGAAAGTACTTAAAACTGGAGTTACATCGAGGTCATTTCTACATCTTGTTTCAGTTCTGAATAGAAAACTGATGTGATGTGTTAGTCTCTGTCTCTCCATGTTCAACAGTCTCCTGCAGCATTGGGAACTTGTAGGAGCAAACACATGCTGACAAATCACATGTTTGTATTTTGTATGTTTGTAGCTGCCACAGCCCTGACGTGGTTACATCTTTAAGAGAAGTACACGAGTCATGGTACAGCGTAGTTGTTGCAATGTCTGACACAACTGTAAATCAGCCACAATAGAATATTGCAGTTTCCTGTGGCTTTAAACATCACTGGGAGGCTCAAACTGTGGAATGATCCGATGCAAAAGCTACTAATTCAGTCAGTGACGCTGAGAATTCAGTAGACTCAGGTTAACTTTAGGGTTTAAGGTTTAGTTTGTTTGTATACTGAACACTTCCAATTTAGAGTAAAGTTTTTAGTCACAGGGTGTTGGATTAAATGTAATCTGGTTTCCCCCAGTACCTTAAGGGTTAGCAATTTATGTCAATGAAAAAAACACTTTAACTAGGTCAGTAAACCACTCACACAGCTCAGTTATCAGTTACAATGTCTCTGTTCATTGCTTTTAACAGTTCTAGTATTATTTTCTCTGAGTATAATGTACTCACCTCGTGCTGCAGGTACTGGTACTGACACTAGTGTGGACACCAGCACTGGCAGTGGGGTTGGTGACAGAGCTTGGGTTAACTGTAGCGTTGGTCTCAGCGATGCCTTGACTGCAGATCCATTTGGTCTCATCCACCACTGTGCGTGCATGAGGCAGACGACCGACATCCCTCACCTTCATCAGCAGGTGGCGTCCCGATTTGAGGATGTGAACCGCCTCATCGTGGCAGATGATGACAAAGCTCTGACCGTTCACTTCCAGGATCTGGTCACCTACCTGTAACAGACCAGTCTCACTAAAATCAGCACATGCTCATCTGTCAGGTAGGGCATGAAAAATCTGCATGTAGCATCTCTGGATGACAACCAGAGGCGATGCTAAACATTTTCCATCTCTTCTACATTCAGAGATCTTATTAAAAAAAATCACATGTCTAGAATGAGGTATGAAGTTAGACGTAGGCTGGCTCTTGTGTGGGCTCTTTAACCTGCAACCCACGGTCCCCTTGTGGTTTATTTCATATGGAAAAATATTAGATGTGCTCTTTGATCGTAGGAGAATGCACTGTAGATTCTTTTAAAGGTCCCATATTTAACACCACTGAACAGCAGGGTCTCTTCGTTGAGGAGCTTGTCTGTTTTTAACAGTTCTTGCTTGAACGTTTTAGATTCCATAGCTCCAGTCACATCCAAAAAGCAGAAACCATCTTTTCTTCTATGGTTCAATGAAGAAAGGCAGGAAGGCAGAAGGCAAATGGGGAAAAAAACTCAGTGCCTCTCTTGTCTCTCTTAGACACCTAATGTCCTATCTTCAAAAGGGAAAACTTGATGATTAAAAGTTACAAAATTACTCTGAGGCACTTCTGTTGTTTTGGTTCAGTTGGTCTTGGCATATAGAAATAAAAGATCGTGCATGTAGACAAAAATCATGTTGTAGCTTGTGGCAAAGAAAAATAAAAGACGCGAAAAGTGCAAAAATGACTAAGAGCCATGAATTTGTGGCTAGCAGCTTAGAGCTAAGAGTTTACATGGCTACAGAGCCGGGCTTTGAGCCGGGACTCTGAGCTTTGAGCAAAGATCTCAGCTTCTAGTTTCTGCATCATTTTTCTAGCTTCAGCTTTTCAGCCTCTAGGTTTTAGCTTCGTTTCTCGCATCTTCTTCCTTCTTAGCATCTCGCCGAGTTTCTAGCTTTGTCTCGTTTCTAACATTCTGACTCTTCTCACCTTTTTCTGTCTTCTCTGACCCATGTCGTGAATTGATCACACACTGTTTTATCCCCTGGCGCATGCTTCAGAGGCGTCACCCGTCTTCTCCTGTGTTTCCACTTGGAGAAGAGAGTCATTTTCCAACTGAACTTTGGAATAATTTAATTTAGAATTTACTTATAAACTCGCACATTCCGTCTTCCACCATGACCACAAAACATTAAATGAAATAACATATAAAACTACTTGCACTAATAATGGCAGAGAGGAGTAATAGAGTGTTGATTTCATATTACATCCTTCAAACCTGCGAATTAATCATGATACAAGTGGTTAATTGATCAAACACAATATAAACATTTCCCAAAGCTAATAGTCTATAATAGTGGATTACACAGCAGTTCTTTGACTGTAATAATAATAATATGGACATTGCTGGATGTCCTGTATGTGTGTTACCTCGTGTGAAGGATGCTGACAGTTATAGTCACATGAAGGACATTGTCTTAAAATCTACATGTTACCTTTCAAACATTCTATGGATAGAAGTTTGGGATTAAACTATTGCATAGGAACATCTCATGAGTTACAAGAACAGCTAGATATTTAATTTATTCTTCCTCAGATCTGTGTCTGTGAAGAGAGTTCTGCTGGTCACTACCCAGGATTGGAATGTGGTGTCGTAGTTTATGACTCTCATCTAGAGAGGGGCAGAGGAAGAGGAGGTTGGTGTTGGTGTTGTGTGTGCGGTGTGTGTGGTGTATATGTGTGTGTGTGTGTGTGTGTGTGTGTGTGTGTGTGTGCGTGCGTGTGCGAGTGAGTGTGTGTTCATGCATGGCACAGACAGGCCAGGATTCACACCTTAGTGTTAATCAGTCCTTTTGTTGTTACTTGTCCTATATAAGAAACAATCAAATATCATTAGACAGAGTCTTATTGTAGTCTTACAAACTGGAGATTTTGCCTATATTCTCCAGTTGTCTGGTGTCCATTGGTTGATCCTCTGGAGCTGACCCTTTTGACCTTTGGTCTGGTTCTTGTGTCGTTCGAACATGCTAAAAGCATGGACTGTTTGTGATAAGGTCCCTTTGTCTCTGTTTCCTATCAATTTGATAGTTTGATGGTGGGAAGAGTCACAAAGTGTCAATTGTGGGTCCGTAACTCTGCATGTCCTTACAATGAACTTCCTTAATGGCTTGTGACTGATGCCAGGCCAGGTATGTACGCTACAGGTCCTATATAAATAGTGGAAGTGTCAAAGCGCTCAGTCCACAGAGAAATGCAGACAGCCTGTATTCAGAAACTGAGCCTTAAAATGAACAATCAGGACTTTGTAATTTTGTGATGTGACAACCATACACCTCAACCACACCCCCAGCACAGCACAGCCCGCCATCCATCCTTTTTCTGTTGTAGCTTTAACTTTATTAAAGACACAACACCAAGTGGTCATTCCATCCCTGAGCTAATAACTATTACAGTTTAATTGTGACTGTCTATTCAGCTTATTTCAGCGCTCACTGACCATTGCCGTTTGCATTTACTGGTGTGTTTTATCACGCAACAGCAGAAGGCTATAATCTGTGGTGGACCTAGCTGTGCGTCACTTAGAAAACAGTCAGCCAACCAGAAGAGAGGCTTATTTCACAGAAACAAAATGCCACATTCTTGCTTGAGCTCCAGAGAGAGGCCTGAGAAAGGAGATGTAAACCTATATTGAGATATTTCTTCTTATGGATATCACAGCTTCAAATAAACTTGAAACTATCATGTGATATGATCACACCAGCCACGGCACCTGTCAAAAGGTTGACAATTCGACCCATGAGTAGTCAGTAGTTATTACTATATCACTACACAGGTACTCAGTGCTCATGGGACAGACTGCACCCGTTGTCATACCTATATATTCCTTCAGTTTGATCTCAACTACACACCTGCCAAAGCACTGAAAACCTCCACCACAAACACACACACACACACACACACACACACACACACACACACACACACACAAACACACAAGGTGAAAAAAACACCACACACACTGCTGCTGCTGCTGCTGATGAATATGGGAAACTGCAGGATGTGTGTTATCACCAGAACACTGGATCACACCCAAATGAGGGTGTGCCCATTACCAAGCGCACATTGCTCCATTTGAGTTTTGCCATCCTGAGTCTTAACTCAGACCATTTGTTCTCACTGGAAGAGGCCGTGTGGTGCGACTGCTGAGGCTGCAGTCAGCATGGCTGTTAGTCTGAGGCTGAAACACGTCCTCTATCCACCGTTACAGGATGTTAGAGAGAAGGTTACAGTTGTTATTGAGCAGTCTTGGAGACACAGGTGAGGACAGCTACTGTGTCTCCATTGCACACATAAAGTATTAGTGTCAGTGTGGTATGATACAAAGTTCTATGGCCTACAGTATGGAGCTCGAGCTGATTAAACACTTATGCATCCTTTACTTTCTACTCTTTTAGTGCTGAATCATTTTGTACATGAGTTTTGTACAGTTGATCTACTAAATGTGTAAATGCCTCAGAAACTGATTGAGAACTTTTGAACTGTGCATTTCTTTATTTTGGGAAATTACAATAAACCATCTCCTTTGAAATACTGCATGTTTGTGATTCTGATCAATGGAACAGATTCATTTTTATTTGTCGCTAACCAGAGAATTTTTATCATTCACTTTTCAATTTTTCTCCTTCGAACAAAATTAACAAATGGTCCATACCTGTCATTCAAGTTGTGTAGATGGTTTGCTTTTCTCCAGAAGGGAAATAAATAAATACAATCCTTTATTTTTTACTATTTTATTTATTTTAGCACAGCAGCTTTTACAGTTCAGCACTTTGTGACTATTACATGAATGCCTTTCATAAAATAATATACTATTAACATTTTCATCATTTAGGGTCCTCTGATAACACTATACTGACAACACTACATTTGTTTGCTGATTTCCAACAACAGACTTGAGGACTTTTTACTCTTTGGTAACATTTTAGCGAATTAAATACTTTATGTTTGAAGCCTAAATACAATCGTCAGACACAAAAAGCTAATGTTAGGCTATAAACCAACTACACCACGGTCACATGACTTCAACGAGTTAAGGCCAAAATCATGTTTTGTGAGGTCACCGCTATTTTGACCTTTGACCTTCGACCACCAAAATCCAATCCAATCCATTTCATCCTTGAGACCTAGGGAATGTTTGTGCCAAATTTGAAGAAGTTCCACCTTGGCATTACTGAGATATCGTGTCCACTAGAATGGGACGGACAGATGGACGGACGACCAGACAACAATATGCCTTCTTGCTGGCCCTTGCCGTCTCTGTCGCCCGCACAGAGGCATAGAAATCCAGAGACTTTGGGATGAGTGAACAGGAAGTGCTAAACTGCTAACTAATTTCCAGATTTTAGGACTCAGTCCTGCGGCACTGTATATACTGAGTCACCTGACCTCCTCCTTTGGTCCCATCATAATTACTATGTCCACTAGAGGTCACCTAACAATTACACAAAACCCCTAATGGCAGAAGGGTTGTTCCACTGAAAACATACAACAACATATTTGCTGTTAAAAAACAAAGCAGTGGGTTGTGAGGTTAGATACATGGAATTGGAAACTGTTCTCTTTGAGACTATCCTCCTATAAAAAAAAAAAACAACCCCAGAGGCTGTTGGTGTTAGCAACTCATTACAGTGAAACTCAAGGTCATCCTAACTTTCCCATTTGGTTGGGTCGTCTGCAGGGTGCCACACTCACAGACACACACATACAAACTAATGCTGCGCTGAAGCAAACTATCTTCCTTTGGTGGTCAAATTTAAGTAGAGGATGTTTGAACTGACTCATGTGTCACCCAGCGCCTCTGTCAGTTTGTTCACTCAGGAGCAAAACACCCTCTAGTGTCAACCACTGGATAGATTTACATGAAGAATAATGAAGATATCCAGAGACTAAAAACCCTGCCAGCAGCTCCGTGAGGCTGTACTTAGACACCATGCTGTTTTAAGCTAAATGCTAATGTGGGTGTACTAACATGCCAACACTGATA